AACCACATCTTACTTTAATTTTAAATTTCGTAGTTATAAAAAAACTAACTCATATTTAATTTTAAATTGCAAAATGGCCGAACAGGAATAGAAATAACAACAATTAATTGTAAAGAAATTGTTGGAAAATCTTTTCCTTCTGCAATGTAAAACTAAATTATTTGTCTTAATAAAAAATCACGAATTCGTAGCTGGACACTAAGGAGCGGGAAAAGGTTAGATCAGATCATATATGCAAAACGGGAAAAATAAAATTCAGCAGTCGAATAGCTTTTCCAATATGTCATTATATCTACCATTCAAATGGAAGAGTGAGTTGTCCAGCTACTTGGAACACCCTGATGGCATTGACTGCAGTGTCAAAAACAAACGTTAATGCATTCACTTTATTTCAAGGAATGGAATTTGTTTTCGTATTTGCGTGCTTAGTTCTCGATGACTTCCCTAGCCAAAGATTAATGTCAGGCGGGTTTTCGTAGCTTTACTCGCAGAATAATGTTTTCCAAGATCAATCAGACGAAGAGCTAAAAGTAAACGTAGAAGAGACAAACCTAAACAAGTCCTCGATTGCTTTTGAATAACTTAATTTTGATGTGTAGTTTACTATGCAGCAAACAAAATCGTCATTTTAAGAAAGTACTTTATAAATGAAAATATATTTTTCCCAGAATCCTGAATTTTATTACATCATTTACTCGTAGAAACTAAGGTGAATCAGTTTTCCTACAAATATAATTTTTTACTTGTGACAGAATGTAACTTAAATCTAATTTCTAATTAAGAATATTGCTATTATATTCTTTGAATTTCTCTTACTTTATTTATACCAATTAAGAAAATTCATGCTCAATGGCATCTTTGTTTATATCGAGAAGAATTGCTTAGGTCGAAAATATTTGGATAAAAACTGTACCAGTGTTAAGGACCGATTGTGAGTTACTTGATATCGACCGTTTAAAAAATAGATAAAACCTTATTCATAACGGAATAAAGAACGATAAACTCTTAGAAAGTAAAAGATTTAATGACAGTTTTAAAATTGAAAGATAAATTAGTGGTAATGTTTAAATTCATCGCCTTCCCCCGTCGTCATTAGCTTCACACAAATAGCTAATACCTGGCTCAAGTTCTTTATTCTATTGTACGAAAGCAAAGAATCTTCACGTTACACTACTTAGACGATTTCATAAATGACATAAAGATGTCAGCACCCCTTTATGCAAGTCGGAGACTGTTCGCCAAGATGAAAACTTCCCATGGGCATCCCGGTAGCTTGGTGAAGGCTGATTTTTCAAGATAAAAAATGATAAATAAAGATTCTGGACTTTGTCTCTTGGCGAACAGTAGCCAACTTGCAAAACGGTGCCAACACCTTTATGCAAATTGACCGGTTAAAACAATCTCATCTGCTTCTGACAGCAGTTATATTAAAAAAAAAATGGGAAGTTATCATATGAATCCATAAAACTGACAGCAAAAATAACAACTCTGCTTGTATTAAAAATCTGCGTCGTAATTGAAAGCTAGGTGGCAAAATTTGCGTATCACATCAAGTGTAAAGGTCAAAGATAATATATCATTCATTATATTGCTAATCATCGCATTAAACCTCTTCTGATCCGTAATATCAACATTTTATGTTGTTTGCACTTAATTTTTCAAAAGTAATGGAATAGTGTTAAAAACGTGAATTTCTTCCATTTGTGTTTGCTTTATTACCACTTTAATTCATTTCTTGTCAAAAGCCTTAATTAATGCCGAATTGTTTTCTTAATTTAATGCGTATTTAATGACGTTTTTAGGTCTGATTTTCCAATTATGTTAAATAAAAATTAACACGTGTGTAACTAACACGTTTGAACATTTATTGAATTTTTCAAAACTGGGAATCTAGCTGTATTATGCGGTGTCTAATTTTTCGTACTTAATTTCCAGACATTTTGATTTCTATACTCAGTCTCTAAACCCGTAGTAAGCCCAGTAAGATATACACTGAAAAGTAAATTGATGCGCAATTTTATTTCAACATTTTAAAGTTGCCTTTGCGGCTCTGTTTGATACACAATTTTATGGCCGCCAGATGGCAGCACGGAGAAAGAACGAAGATACAATCTTCATTAAGTGTAGTGATTCTGAAAATCCATAACCACTCATAGTTTCAAACGCTTTTTTTTTCGTTCAATTCACTGGTTGTTTGGCTAAAGGCGGAAAGATTTTAATCTAAAGTTTTAGGTTTTATAATAATAACAATTATCTGGAAGCAATTAAGAGAATTTTTAACTTTAAAATAGTTCACTCTAGTTGTACGGTAGTTAAATGTTACTGTAGTGTTTCAATCTAATTAATATGAACAGTTATATATAGATAAATATTTTCATATCGGAAAAGAAAAACATTGTACAATACTTAAAATTTATCTAAAAAAGAGTGTATCGGAAGGATTTATTTCAATAGGAGAAAACTTGCATATTAATACTAATGATCAAGATTTAATTCCATATATTGTGATTTGGTTTTATTCTTATTGTTCTAGACACAACAATTTAAACCTTTTTTTAATGGAACTTTAGCTTCATTTTATTATAAAATTTGAACAGGAACAACGGATGTGAATATTTTCTCAAACTTCAAGCAATGAGTTTGTGGAAAATCGCCGAAGTTCTGTCTGCAGTGATATGATCTGTAGCGAAATCTTTGTTTTCCCTTAGTATTTGGTGAAAAAACGGCCTTTCCTTCTTATACATTGGTTCAGCATGTATTGTCATATGCAGTTTGGAAAAGCTAAAGCAGGTAATCCCATCAAAACATTCAGATATCGTTAGCAGGTAAAGGATGGACATTGTTTAAAAATCTAGTTTTAAAGCTAACGTATTTTAAAAATATGGTTTTCTAATTTAACTTTGATTATATTGGTAAAAGTGTTAATTTTAACTATGTTATTTTAATATTTACTCTTGACGTTGCCCACTGCTTGTCAAAAATCTGAAAAAAAAAATGGTATAATCTGAGAGAGAATGCTCAATGATTAAACTTTTTAACCTACGTTCTAACTTACGTAGTATATTAAGGATAGGTGTCAGAGCTGTTACGATGGAACTTTGCGCCAAAATTTAGGGACGAGAAAGTTCTATAGGCACTGGACAGTAGAAAACGTAGCACCGGCTTACATGTATTTTCAATATCTCTTTGTGAACTTAGATCGATTTGTGAAAACGTGTGTTAAAAGCCAGGAGTTCTCAGCAAACTTTAAAGGGACGAAACTTTAAAGGGAGTCAATGATAATCAAAGGGGCAATTGAGAATCAGTAGTTGAATATGTACTGGCAACTGATTGGCATAATCCGAGTCTCATTAATTACAAAATTGTTTTACTAAAACTGATGATTAATTGTTCTTTGATACAGATCTAATCATATAAATTCGAGTCTCATTCAAAACATATACACGCGCTACGTTTTCGAATCTAAAAGTCATGCAAGAGAACTATCCTAAAATAAAAATTGTTACCAAACCAACATTATTAATTTTTCCTCTTCGTATCCAGTGAAAACAGGTTTTGTCCTCATCTCCTACCTCTTCTGCCTACAGACATTTCACAAATTATTTTAAGGGAACCGAAAGATAAATTAGAAGATTATACATACATCAAGAAGATTCTGCTCCAAACATTCAAATTAAATGCTGAATCATTTCGAATTAAAATTACCACACACCAAAGACCACCTGAGTCCTTATGGAAAGATTTTTCTTACGAATTAAACAATTATCTTGAAGAGTGGCTACATAGTCTCGATGTTACAGACTTTGAATCGCTCAAAGACTTGGTCGTGACGGATCAGCTTAAAAGAAGAGTCAGCAGTGATGTTAAGGAGCATTTTATTGATACTTGGGGAAGAAAAAGAGTTCATCTGAATTAGTACAGAAATTGGATGATTATGAAGCTGTACGTGTTAAAAATACGAACTATAAAACTCAACTTCCTGGCAGGCGGAACTATTCTTACAAACCGACTAATCCATCCAAACACAAAGTAGAAAATCGAACAAGTGACATACAGGGAACTCATAAAACCTTTTCAAATCGTGGTCAGCAACAAACAGAGGAAAAGCGACCTCCTTTAACATGCTATGGGTGCGGAAAAACTGGTTTTATCAAGTCTAAATGTCCAGACTGTAACCCCCCAAAGACTTCAAATTCATCAAATTTTGGCACTATCCAAATCCGATCCTGTTTATCTTCCACTCGGACTGCTGTATTTCCGAATTAGTATTGGTGGTGTTTCCGGTACAGCTTTCGCCGACAGTGGTGCTAGTCACTCAATTGCAAGTGAATCCCTCTATCATATTCTGCAGAAACAAGATGCAGTATTTGAAAAGACAACACTACAGGTGTCTTTCGCTGATGGTTTGGTATCTGAAAAAGAGGTACTTCGCACCGAACAAATTCATTCTTCTCGAAGGCAGAGAGTTCAAAACTCCGCTCCTTGTGTTGCCTGATGCCAAAAATAACTCGACTCTGTTAGGAATTGACTTTCTTCAAAAAGCTAAAATTGTTTTAAATCTTGCTGAAAATAAGTGGAACTTTTCTGATGAACCTCGAAGAAAATATAGCTTCGTGAAACCTCATCAATCCCAAGTACTGGAAGAAACCCCAGTTGTTGTAAACAACTGCCAACTACGAGAAAATGAAGGACAACAATTAACTACTACAGCCCAACGGCTTGCAACTGATGCATTGCTTAACAAATATCACACTGTCTTCAAAGTAGGGGGAGAAGCCACTCCATTCATTGAACACCATATTAACACAAGAAACAGCCCCCTGTTTCAGTCCCTCCATATCGGATGAGCCCAAGTAAGAAAGAACTGTTGAAAAAGGAACTTGATTCCCTTCTAAAACAAGGTATCATAAAAGAATGTGAAAGCCCCTATGCCTCTCCTGTGGTTCTGATTCCCAAGGCAAATGGAAAAGTACGGTTATGCATTGATTATCGTAACCTAAATGCTCAAGACCGTTCCAGACACTTATCCTTTGCCACGTATAGATGATTTGTTGAGTGAAGCAAAACCGACACCTTATATGTCAACTATTGATTTGAGATCCAGGTTATCATCAGGTGAGAGTAGCTGAAGAAGATCAAAATAAGACTGCTTTTTTGTTTGCCCTTTTGGTACATATAAATTTACCCGAATGCCCTTCGGATTGAGAAACGCTCCTGCCACTTTTTCTAGATTGATAGATAGGTTCCGTTCTGGACTTAATAATGTGTTTGCTTTGTCATATTTAGATGATATCATCGTGCTGTCATCTAGCTTCGAAAAGCACCTTTCTGACTTAGAACAAGTTTTCCAACGTCTATCGTTATTCAAGCTCAAAATGCTAATCGTGAGAAGTGCCACTTCTGTTGTGAAAAAGTGAAATATTTAGGGCATTACATTACTAAGCATGGTATAGCTGTTGATCCACACAAGACTGCTGCCATTGCAGACATGCCATCGCCGAAAACTGTTAAGCAAGTGCAATCGTTCGTACAAACGTGTTCCTGGTATCGTCGATATATATATTCCAAATTTTCTCAAATAGCCAAACCGTTAACGGATTTAACAAAGAAGAAAGCGCTGTGGAAGTGGGAAGCACAACAAGAAAATGCTTTCCAAGAGCTGAAATCCAAATTAATTAGCCCGCCGATTCTTAAGCAAGCTGATGGAACGAAGAAGCCTTTTATCATTCGCACAGATGCTAGCAATGTAGCCATTGGAGCAGTGTTGCTACAAGGGGAGAAAAATGAAGAACACCCTATAGAATATGCCAGCCGCTTGCTTAATTTTGACTGCATCAGAACGAAACTATTCCACCATAGAAAAAGAAGCCTTAGCAGTAGTAGTATGGGCACTCACCCAAATTTAGAGGATATGTTGAAAGCCAGTCTATCACAATCACCTCTGACCACCAACCATTGAAAGTGGCTGATGTCTTTAAAGTCACCAACTGGTAGGCTCGCAAGATGGGACCTTACAAATCCATTATTTAATCTGACTATCAATTACATCCTGGAAGATTGAACTTTATTGCTGATCTATTATCACGTCCTATTTTTGAACACTCAAGTACTGATTCTTGTCAAGTCTCTGTCAAAATCCCTACTATTAGCTTGTAGAGACATTAGGTATTTTTTCGGAAGCAAGCAAGATAAAAAATTAGCAACGCCTTCGCCGGGAATCGAACCACGGACCTCTGGTACAGATTACACCACGAAGGCACCCTTGGGAGAAATACCACTCCCTTTTAAGGGCGACTGGGGTTTTCAGGGGACCCAATCGCCAAATTCTGGGTGTGAAACCTCATCCAAACCCTTTGTTCGGGCCCCTCTGTCGAAAATAGCAACACCTTCGCTGAGAATCGAACCACGGACCTCTGGAATACCGGCCCAGCGTGCAGAACCACTACACCACGAAGGCACGCTAGTAAAGGGGGAGAATTACCTTATAAGCCCTGCAAAATTACGACAATCACAGCTAGAAGATGATGATCTTTGAAGGATCATTGAAACTTTTGAGAGTCCAGAGAAAGAAGCCGACTGTGCAACTTGGACTGGAAGAGGCTATACGTTATGAACAGAGGAGTTTTGTACCGATATTCCGATATGATTCAGAAGAGGAAGAAGCTCAACTAGTTATACCTTAAAAAAGAAAAGCAGAAATCATCATGATCATGATTCGCCAACGGCCGGTCACTATGGATATGAAGGAACATTTTATCGAATAGCAAGAAGACAATACTGAGTTGGAATGAGAAAGGATATAGCAGACTATGTCAAAAGCTGTCTCGAATGCTGTCGTTATAAAGCCTCTAATCAAAAGCCATCTAGCTTACTTCGAACTCCTGTCTATGCTCAACGTTTTGAGACCTTGTCAAATGATCTTTTCGGTCCCCTTCCTAAAACACCATATGGTAAAAATGGATTTTTATTGTGCAGGACTGTGCCACGAAGTGGACAGAACTATTTGTTAAGGAAGCCACGGCCAGAATTTAGATGATCTCATTCGTGGTGTCGTTATTTGGGTTACCCAGGAAATAATAAGTGATAATGGTACCCTACTAGTGCTGTTATGCAAACTTTATTATGCTTTAAACATTGATCAAAGTCTTACTCCTGTCTATCACCCACAATCTAACCCAGTTGAAAGGAAGAATAGAGATCTGAAACCACGTTTAGCAATACTTGTTGGTAACGACCATCAGTCATGGAAGGATAAACTGCCATTAATAAGGTTTGCTTTGAATACAGCCAAATGTGATTCAACTGGACATTCTGCTGCTTTTCTTCAATTTGCACGAGAGTTACGAACCTTAGATGATGTAAAGCATGATATAAAAGCCGTAATTGAGAACGATAATTTTGTTCCCGAAATTACTCCATATTTGAAACGTTTTGCAAGAAATGTACAACAGGTACGAGAAAGAGTCGAATTGCATCAAGATAAGCAGAAACGATATGCTGACGAAAAACGAAGAGGAACTCCGAAATTCGTTCCTGGAGATAAATTTTGGGTTACTCTCCACCCAATCAGCAAAGGTCCACTAAAGAAAACTGTTAAATTCATGCAGAAGCGAGATGGCCCTTATATGATAATGACTACAACATCTCCAAACACTTATGATATTGCCGATCCTCATGAACCAGACAAAATTCTCGGCAAGTATCATGTTTCAGCCTTGAAACCATATCAAGATCGAAATAAATTTCAGAGCTCAGCTCGTGTAAATCCAGTAGTTCCCTTAAAGAAAACAGGACGCCCAAAACGTGTATAATACCACCCGAATCTGCACCTGTTGCACAAGATGCTGGTGAAGCTAAATCTACTGCTCGTCAAACTCGAGTCTATCCATCTTGTTCTCCGCCCACTGCACAAAGTAGACAAATGTCAGTTCCAGACTTCTTGCCAAGACGTCCACGAAGTCAGAGGGGGAGGATGGAACAGAAGTATTTAACTGTAACCGAACTCTTTTATTGAAATCCATCTAGTGGCGAAAAGGAAAAACGGCAGTCGACCTCCAGCTGCGATGGAGGATTACTATGGACAATGGGCACCGCGCCGAGCGGTAAAGTCGCGGAACACTGGTAGTCGGTCCGAGTCGAATCCCGCGAACGGGCTGGCTGCATGGGTGTTTTGTGGTTTCCCCATGTGTAACGTGTATACGAGCCAGTTCCCTTAGAAAGTCCTCCACGAGGCATCCCTACTCTTAGGCAGATAGCCCTCGAGGCTTGCCAATACACACACACACATGGTACTACATGTCTCTGTAATTCTAATGTTTGATGTTCCATTTAGTATATGTTCCATTTTTATGTATATATATATATATATTTTTTTTTGGGTTTGTAACCGTTCCTGTGTGCCCTCTTAATAAATCCTTTGAGAGCTAGCTGGCATTAGTGTCTGTTGAGGAGCATCTACATAACATATAATATGATGGTGTTACTGTACATATAAAATATATACCTAGAGTTATTTTTAAAGGTTATAAAATTGCTTTAAATGAGATCTAATTAATTTTGATTTCTCAAGTCAAATTTCATGAAAAGAAGATTTTATGAAATAAATTTGAATATTAATCGTACAATATGGGTAGTAAAGTAAACTATTACGCAGTAATATTCAGTGGTTGCATATTTGGTGGCTGTTATATGCTATTATAAATGAATTTATGTATATATATTCAAAAGTTTGATTTTGCTATTTTTGTACTTACTATGCATAGATTAGTATACAAAGAAATCCTTTATGTCATGTTTCTGTAAAATAAATTTTTTTTTTTGCATATTCAAAGTAATTTCATACAAGAAACACTGTGGGGGGGGAACTTTGATACTGTTAAAAATATTTTAACCACTTGCGCTAAAAAGACGTGCCACGCACGTCGAGATGCTTTTGTCTCAAGCCGCGAGCGACGTGAACACCACGTCAATAGGCATTTATCGCAAAAATGAAAATAACGTGGTACACACGTCGCCTAACAACGAGATTGTTTATTTCTCGAGTTACAGCTCTGGATTGCACTCGCAGACGCGGAGCGGCGTAAATGAGACACTTTACCTCTTGTTATATTTGTAGCGCACGGCACCACAACTGTGAAGTTTAGTCGTAGCGCAAGTGGTTAAAACACCAAATATTGAAACATGACCCTAAAATTTCAAATAATTTAATGTGGATGTAATTTTTTGAATATATTTCATTAGATTTGGAAAGAAAAACTGTATAGTGCCTACCGCTTATTAAATTCTCAGGTTATAAAACTCAGCCGCTTATTATGTTCAGATTTTCAGGAGCCGAAATAAATACGCACTAATCAATAGAAAAATCAATGTTTCTTTCACTCGTCTCCAACACTTATAAAACTCAGATTGGCAAAAGATTGTTTCTTCAGTGTCAGAATATCTTACTGGTACTTGACAAGGTATTTGTAGTTCATAAATTTAACATATTGTGAACCGTGGCTTTAACGTTCAGAAGGTACTCATAAGGACCGTGGCTTTAACGTGAATGCTTTAATAAAACGGTGTAACGTCTTAAGCTATTTTATCGACCACCACAAGTTCTCAGGAAAGGAATGACCACCTCGAAAGTTCCCACGCACAGAGTATTTCTTAGCGAATTCTCGGAAAGAGGAAGTGACCAGCAGTCACAAAACAATCTCAGCTTTTTTTTTTTTTTTTTTTTTTTTTTTTTTTTTTTTTTTGTTGCTCTTATAGTTGTTTGAAAGGAGACATTGTTCAGTTCCCTTTCAGCAGTTTATAGGTTCAGTGTCTCAGACCATCCGGTTTGAGACCCCCAGTTGGAATCGAAAAGTTCCCACGGACGTTTTCCCACGCTGTCTTTATCACATTCAGTTTTTAATCAAAGTGTTCTCGCCAATCAAGAGGCGCTTCTAAAAATTACGGACAAATAAGGATCCTAGAAGTTTTTCCGACACGCCCAGGACAACTTGAACAAAATCATGGAACGCAGTTCCAGAGAGAGAGAAAACGTAAGAGTTAGTCGCAGTAAGTAGAGAGAGAAATCTTCTCTCGGTTTTTCCAGCTCGGCCACGAGCAAATTTTTGCTTCTCTCTGCGTAGAGCGATATTAATATCTCTGCCAAAAGATTTACAGCGAGGTAGCCGTGTTCGCAGCTACCTTACGAAGAGCATTCTGCTCAGACACAGCTCAGTGCGGCAACCACCGGCTTAGAGATTCGATTTATTCAAGCCTCATCTTGAGCCTATCCTCATCTTGAACTATTTCCAAACAAGAACTTTCATCTTGGCTGAGTCTAAACAGGAACTTATTCACCCCTACTGTGAGAACAGTATTTTATAAGTTTATTTATTTATTTATTTATTTTGGATATAGCCTAGAAACGAACCGAAATAAAATCAGTTACGCTACCGAAATAAAATCAGTTACGCTACCTCTTGTCTTTCGAATTCGTCACAGCTATAGAGGTTATGTGTAAAAATGGTGGCAGCTAAGTGGATTCTGGAGGAAAAAGTAATTGAGACAACTCCGTTTCCCGCGCAGTGTCAGCTACAACAAAGACTGTGTGGAAAACTGTGTGCAAAAAGGGCTGCAAAACGACAGAAGAAAATTCCTCTTAGTGGACAATAGCAAGTTTCAGCGATCTTATCTCTGAATACGCGTTTGCGGAAATAAGCACCTCCAACTGTGACACCTACTATGAAGTGATTTGCTGCATCCTGAATAGTGTTCATTGAATAGTCAATTTATTTACAGATCTTTACATACGAAGTCAACCATATATATATAGCAATTTTTCAAACTGTATATTTGTTATGAACCTTAAACTTTCAATGTCATCATAGTAAATCGTAAATCGTTGTGTGCGTGCACTTTTGACATAGAGTTTGCAGAAGAAAGTAAATGATTATAAAATTCTAATTCACAAATTATTATATGCAAGGAAAAGCTTAATCTGAAACAGGTATAGATAAAATTTTTCGGAAATTTAATATGATGCATATTATTGCAGATGAAATAGTGTACAGTATATATAAAGGTATATTTTTCTGTAAAGGGAAATAATATATATTTGAATGCTTCACATTTTTGTAAAATGTATATAAACAGTACAATAAAAGCTCCAGAAAACCTATCTGAGACAAAATAAATATTTTCACATACTGTATTTACTTTCAGTAATGCAGATTAAAATGAATGATAATTTTTCACTCAAATGCAAGACAAGCACAAATATTTTTATCCAGGACATTTCAACTGCGTAAAGTTATAATCGTATTCTTAACTGAATAGATTTATGATCCAAGTGGAGCAATTTCGTCTCGGACAGTTTTGAGAAAAAGTGATTTTGTTAAAATATATAACAGAAATAATTAGAAAGTCAAGTAATTAAAAAATATATAACCTCACAGTAACTCCTGCATTAAATCCTGTTGGGAAGAAAATATAATATTGATATAAAAGTTCTTTTGCTTAATTTCGGCTGTCGACATGTTGGTTATTGTTGCAAACTCACTCAGTGCACTAATAGTCAGAAAACATGTTTTTTGTGGTTCTGGAAGTGATTATTGTAGAATGGTTCTCTACTATTACTCCTTCCTCCTAGGCCAGTGGCATAAATAATAGACTATACTTGAAGTCAAAGTTACGATTTTTAGTTTCTTGCTGCCTGTTGTGCTGTTGGCTTTGTTTGCTTGTTTAATGATGGCAAAGTACACAAGGGCTATCTGCCTAAGGGAAGAGATGTCTTTATGGAGGACTTTCTAAAGTAAACTGGATCATATACATGTTACACATAGGGGAAAACCACGGAAACGCCCATGCAGCCAGCCCGTTCGTATGGAATGAAACCTAGGTCAGGATTACTAGAGTTGAGCGACTTGCCGCTCAGCTGGTGGTGGGCTCTGTTGAGCTTACTGTTCAGTACTTACCGATTTAGACTTTTCATCGTAAGTGAATTTGAGGCTTGTGACATTCTTTGTGTAGTAAGGGGAGTTCCAACTTTTTACTGCATTCTCCTTGATATATTTTTAACCGTTTTACTCATCTGTGAAATTTAATCGTCTCAACATGAAATAAAGTTTTAAGTTTTGTTTTTCATCTGGTTTGATTATTTTAGATGTTTATGAATTTGTACCATTAAAAATACAAAATTTGAGAAACTTTTTTAAGCAATAACTATTCAAGCATTCAGCATAACTCATCTTATCAATTTGTTTATACTGACAATGTAGAAAGAAAAGGGAATTTTCACTGAAGTTGTTATATGTTAGGTAAAGGTCATCTTGAGATAAATTAACAAATACCATACCTAAAGATGTGAACTTTATGCGAGACGAGCAAATTATTATATAGAAGTTCGCGGGAGACGAGGCTAGATTCTTAAAAGTATGGAGGAAGAAACATAATTAGGGGCATCAAAAAATGTCCTTTTCTTGACAAGGGGATAAACTGTTTATAGTGTCTCTAATTTCACTGATGCTAGTCTTTCAAGAGGTCTTATCTTGAGCTTACGAAATTTTTAATGAAGTTTTTCATTTGGTTTAAAGTTTTCTTTTAAATTGAACAAAGGTGCTATTTTCAGATAATACCAATCTAACTTTCGGGTTTGTTGTTGCCAATCTCACTTGTCTAGGAAAGGTGAGCATAGGCCCATGACAATTATCGTGACAAGTAGTCAAATGCGCCTGTCGTTGGCAAAGGCCTTGAGCACCATATAAATAATAGCCCGACTTTATTTCATTTTCGCCCCCAGCTTTGAGAGAGGGCACTGTACCCCTCTTCTCCTAAAATCAACCTCTTGAGAGGACTTTAAGCTTGCAGCTTAGCCCCCATATCGCACGGACATTATACATTTACAAACATCCATGCCATCTCCGGGATTCGAACCCGGGGCTTCGGTATGGCGGTCAGAGTCACTAACCACTACCCCGATTGAGCGGCACTCTTTCTGGTTTTATGACTGATATCTATCATTAATCTTCTTTCTAGTTTCTGTATTGTCATGTAAAATGCGTTATCTGAAATAATTTACAGTAAGCTCATATGATGAATTTTACCTACGATTAATTTCTGTTATGACGAATGGATTCACGTGCTTGTTTTTCGGGTGAGGGAATTGTTTATCCAAGAATAGTACATGATTGGTGGGCAAAATTTGTAAATTAAAAATTAGTTTACACTTTACAATTTCGCATTTCCACGCAATAATGTATTTCAAAAAGGCTGATAAAAGCTTATTATCTTGAATATTAATTTAAAACAGGTAGTTCTAATTGCAAACTTTTCAAAATTAGATTGAGGTTTGTATGACAGCAGTATCGATATTGTGGCTAAGAGGGTTTCATAATATAAAATCTAATTTTTAATATGGCCTACGTAAAGGAAAAATGCGGCAAATAAAATACTCGTTGTGCTTTTAATAAGTTAAATATGAAGGGCTCTGTATATTTATCCGTGAATTTCGTGGAGTTATTAGACAGCAAACAATTTATTGTGATCACTTCAGTGAATGTTTTCGGTAAAAATCAAATACTCCATAATATTTCTTTAAAATAAAAAAAAATTAATTAAAAAAATTTAAAAAACGTTTTTTCCTGTTATAGGCTTCCGCTGGAGAAAATGCCCTAATAGTTGATCTCGAGAAAATAATAGTTATGAATATCTCTGTGGATTTTTCGCATAGAGGTATGAAACATTTCGCATTTAACTTAGTGAGTAAAATGATCATTATAGTAACTGAAACTCCTGCTATACGGGTATTATATAAATAGTTAAATTTTATGCACTTCGGAACATCACATTTCGAGCTGAATTGATTTTCGCATTTTTTTCTATGGTTATTTTAAGAAACTTTGTGACTGGAAATACATGTCTAAGATTGCTAACGAAATAAAATCTGTAGCTGCCTTCTTCACCCTGTATATTTAACGTAATTTATATAAAGGTTGAGCTACATCATCTATGATCTGTACCCTTGAATTATACAGTAATAATTTCAATAATAAACAAGATTAATCGTTTATATTTAGTTTATTGAAAATTCTACCAGAACCTATCAACACAAACACAAAATACATATTACATCAGTTTCAGGAGAAATAAATGCTCATGCTTATATTGAGAAACAATGGTTTTAAAAATTCTGAGTCATAGGTTCCCGTCAAAAGTTTTAAGTAAGCCACCAGTATATAAAATATACAACTGCATACAAGAAAATTATGAAAAATATGACACAAATATATTTTTAATATAAAATATTGACCGCAAAGCTGGTTAAAACTATTGTGAAGAAAATTTTTTACCTCAGTTCTGTGTTTTCTTAGACCACGTTTCAATTCGTAAAACATTTTTTCACATTAAACTAAAATATATTTTTAATCAGACAAGCTGTATAGTTAAAATTTCCGATACCTATTTTCATAAAACAATCATGTAACAAAATTCCCTATGAGCTGAAAATAGTTATATAATTCTCAGTAATAAATTTATGATGAGTATATGCAATTCAAAAATATGGGATCAAAAGTCCTCAAAGATTAGATAAAATTAGAAAAATGGACATATGGAGGAAAATCGGTTTGTAAAAGATGGTTTGCAAGCGAATGAGTCTTATATAGGAGGATAATTTTGGACAATGGGATAAATATTCAAACTTTTAATGAATTTCCTCCATATGTCAATTTTTCTAATTTTATTTAATCTTTGCGGACTTTTGAACCTATATTTTCGAACTGCATATACTCTGCTGTATCTGAGAAGAACAACTGCTATCAGAATACCATTGTAAATGATTTATAGTGAAAGTCCGATAATTTGGAGTCCAATCGTTTGGCATATTCGACCATTCGGCACACATATATCCGATAGGAACGTTACCTAATCATGTTACAAGCATATCATTCGGAAGTAACTTATGGTAACTGAATACTGATGGTGGCGTAATTATGACTGAATATTATGCAACAAGATTGTGTTGAAAAAAGCAAAAGTATTGATAATCTTGTAATTTATCATTCTGAACTACTGAATTCAATCTAAATTGTTCTTTCAAACAATTCTCTAGTCACACCATTTGAAAATGAAGTTTGCTGAACGGATTCAGAAACCAAATATGAACAATTGTGGAAAACCCTACTGGTGTCAAGCAAAGAAAATTTAACTAACATTACTTGGCTTAAAGTTGTTAAACCATTAAAGACATTAGTGAAATTTACAGAACATAATAATCCCAAACAATGAAGAAATAAATAATCTTCGTATTCTCTTCCATATCTTTATTCAATATCTTTACTGAACAAGAAGGTGGGCATTCAAAGTCTGAAAGGTCTTCACGCAACAGCAATGCTGTAGATTCCAAAATATCTACAGAATAATGTGCAAAATGATTCAGAATAATAAATTATGCACATCCCGTAGTTTACACGTATTTAATATTTTGGCATTATCGAACACCCAACCTTGTCGAATTATCAAACTTTTACCGTATTCTTTTTCCATGAAATCGATTACTTATGTGATTATTTATTGTTGTTCAGGGTATATACTAACAGAAATAAGTTCTTAGGCTACTAAAGGCTTTTGATACTATTTTGATTAGTTGTTCAAGGTATCAGTTATCAGAAAAGCCTACTGAACTATGGTTTTTAGTGTTATCTTATTTATGAATGTTCCTATAGTTATGGGCCAGTGTCTTCTAACAGTGGAACGTTAAAGTTAATATTTATCTTCTGCCAAAATTATATATTAATGCGATCATTTTCGTTCAAATCTCATTTCCGCATACTTATTTTTTTTATTTTTGCAATTTTTTGAAATCTTAACAGACTACTGTCACAGATTACTCTGTATAACATACCATGCACAGGAAAATATTTCTGAGTTCTGGAAACAAATATGTAAGTTAGAAGATCAGATGCAAGTTACTTTTTCATTCTGATATCTTCTGTTGCAATTTTTTAACCTTCCTTGCTATATTTAGTGCACATAGAAAAGTAGAATTAGCAAAAATATGCACTGATATTTTATATGAACTACTTAAACTAATATTTTGAGTTATATTTTATTGTTTAAGATTAAATATATGAAACTGACCTTTCAGAAATTCAAGTCAGGTTTATATTGAAATTGTTTGTATTTGAATATGCTCTGACTTTTAGAGTGGAAAAATGAGTTTCCATGGATATTTAACCTGCATCATGCTGCTGCATTATTTTATTGTAGCCACATTTCTTACAATAAAACTCGAAATTAATTATTTTAGCTAATGAATTTTATCATTTAGTGCTATTAATTCTGTAAACTTCACAACTGATTTTTATATATTATTAAATGGATAAATTTACAATCATAATTAGGACAAACAGATTAGATAATAATTTTAAAATGTGCAAAATGTTGGAATCGTACCTGAAATGTAACACCCAGCCTAAAAGATTATTGGCTAATGCTGTCACAACATATTGAGACTGATTGTGATAGCATTAGCTAACAATATTTTATACACATATTTGTGATGGTAATGCCTCTTCATTTTTAGAATTTGCATTAACAAATGTTCTTGGAAGAGTAAAATTGTATTAGACTAGTAACAACTTCGTATATATAATATTTTGAAATATTAATGATAATAATACAAATATTATGAAAAAAAAATGATTTTTCTTCCCGAAATTTCAACAAACCCTGTGAAAAATTTCTGAAAGACTATTTAACATGATGAAAAGTATCAAGTCATATTCCTTTGCTTTGTATTGCCATGTAGAAGGTAACAGAGACGGTTGACTTAAGCAAATCAAACAGGCGATGTTGGATTAGTCCTTTGGATATTTCTGACGATAGAAACAAACCTGTTGCGTGCCGGAACTTCTTCACATTCTGAGGCTGTTTCAGTTTCAGATGGAGCTTCTGATGGCGGTTCAGAAGGATAATCTGAATTTCCATATGAATTATTAAAAATTCGAACAGTTTCAAATGGTGGAGGTGCATTCCTCACAGAATTTCCTCCTTGCATATTCTCAATAGCTTTCCTTAGCTAAATAAAATTAGAAATACAATTCACAAAGGCTTTAAATTTATTGTGCTACAATATAGAAAATACATTATTGCATCGATAGTACAATTCATAACCGTATTTATTGAAAAAGTTGTAGTATTTTTAATTTCTTCCATATTGCAAATGACAGATTTTGAATTATTACCTCAGCGTGTTTATTTATCACGCTTTATCAGCTAAATTTTACACAAACATAAATATGAATAAGATAAATTATAGCTTTGTACTAGGAATTTTACATTTCAGTTTCAACCTGTGGTTGAACTTGTGAAGAAGTCTGCAACCTGTGGGGGATTTTCTCCCCCAAGGGGGAACTTAAAGTTCTCGGGGAAGTAAATCGACCTCAGACTGGTAGATTCAGCTCATAATAAGAAATGGTTAAGACATGTTTAAAATCATAAAGGTGGAAAAATTAAGAAGGTAGATAAAAATGTTTAAGTTAGGCATTAAGGAAATGAAGCGAAATCAGAAGAAAAAATTCTTAATTTTTTTATTATATATAATAATAATAATTTATGCATTAATAAATAGATAAATAATGATGCATGTTTGTTAAATATGATGAAACTTAAATTTACCTTTATAGTATTCTAAAATAAAATTTTTAACTTTCTGCTCTACTTGCTACTTAAATATGCATTAAACTTATTACTTAAACATGCCTTAAACCAATAAATAAATAAAAATATGAATTTGAATAATATTCTGATTTGTGGTTTAAAAGGAAGAAAACAGAAGAATAAAATTTGGGAACCGCTGATTTAATAAATTCAATTCAGGGCCTGTTTCAATGCATGCACTGTTTGACCGAAACAAAAAATTATGTCATAATTGTTCTGCTACAGATAATTATGTCTTAATTCTTTTAAAGGACGTTTCGTCCCGCTTTTTTTTATTGTCAGTTATAGTTCACTAACGATGTTCGGTTTTCTTCAGTCTGTTTCTTAATTATGCAGCTGTCATTAACAAGTTGTTGTTGTTGTCTCTTATCTCAACTTTCTGAACTAATCAGAACAAGGAAACAAATATTTTCGTGGCTAAGGGTATAGGATTGCGTTTGTTGTTAGCATCGGAATTTGAGCACCATACAGGTGACCGGATGACTTTACCAAGCTTCATCCCAAATTTTGATGAACAAGAGCCCGGGGATGGCTCCGAGGGTTTCCTACCCCTCTTTCGCTACCACTAAACGACTTTAGAGGACTTTCAACTCGCCGTATAGTTTGAGGGCGACTATGCTACACAAATACTATATGTGTAAACATATTCAAACACAAACCCAACGAACGATACAGCAGTCAGGAGCACTAACAACTATATCGATGGGGGTGGCTCATTAACAATTTTAGTAATAAAGGCTTTTTTTGCATACGCAGTATTTTCTGAATTTGGGAGATATAAAAATAAAATAATTAACTGTTCGCAATTGTTGAGATGTAAATTGAATATTTTATTCATTATTGAACTTTTGGCTTGAATTAGATTTTTTCTAAAAATTTACCAAACAAACGTCATTACAAAATATTATCATTACACTTTCAGTTCCCCGATATACTACATTTTATAGTTCACGTATATTTCTTAAAATAGGAACAGAAACTAGTTAGTGCTAGATGTGGGCGCATATGTGGGTTACGCTGACATTACAAGCTGCCCTACAAGATACAGCTTGCTAAAGATCAGTGAATCTCTCTAAGTTAAATGTGTTAAATAAATATAGTACATAATATAACAGCATTCCATCTGTAGCATTGAAAAAGGTGATCAAAGAATGTAGGTAGCACCATATATGATAGTTTACTATTTTGTTTACGATATTATTTATACAATAGTTTAACCTATGTACTAGTTTACTTCAAAATAGTTTAGTGACAATAAAAATACATGCTGTAGCGCTTGAGAATTACATTATTCCGTTTCATGCATTTTACATTATACAGTATGTAAAAAGGAAGTACAGAAGTATTTTTTATTTTTCTTAGTTTTAGTTCTAATTTAGTTTAAATACGAATAACTTATACATATTAATAACTTACCTCTTTCAAAGCCACTACTCCAACCAGTCGTCCAATAGCAGTCACGTATGCATGATTCAGTCCAAGCATAGAGAATAAAGAGTGCACCTGAAAATGGCAATAAATAAATTTTCATAAGCAGTCAGAATTATATATGAGAATTTATATAAAATTTAGCTTAAGTGTGCATTATTAAGATTTGAAACAGTAAAATTAGCCAACTGAATGTAAGTTTATCACATTTGGTTGATGCAATTTTTTTAACGCTTAGAAGACGGGTGACCGAAAAAACGGCCAGAGCTGCAAAATCTCAAAAAAGACGACGGTGGCCGAAATTTCGGCTAGAGAAATTCTTTTCCCCCAATCATTTAGGGTGCGGAGAAAGTCATATCTTTCCCCTGTCACTTGTCCGTCGACCATCGCGCCTCACAACTATGGGGTTTCATAAATTCCCTTTCATTTTTCCTCAAGTATGCAATGTTAGCTCAAGGCAAAAACTTTCAGCTGTGTTTCGCATGTTTAACTTGCTCTCTAGAATTCTACATAAGTAACCTAACCATACGGATAGCGTAGGCGTTGGTATATCAGTATTGTACTTGCATTGACCAAACAGAAGGGGCATGTATCAACAGAGGGGCATAGAGGCACACCGGAAAGCATACACGATACATATGTTAATACCATGACTATGATACTGTGTAATAGGAGAGTACGTACCATAATCTATATCAGACAGCGAGATGTGAATCACGAGTTAATGCAAATATTATATTACTTTATATTTTTTTTCCCAGTCGCAGAGTTGCAGGAAAAAAAAAAAAAAAAAAAAAAAAAAAAAAAAAAGAGACAAAACGCGATAATATCCAATTATTAAAATTAAAACTGTGAATGACAATATAAGAGTAAGTCCTATTTCACTAAATTCACTATTTCTAGTCCTATTTCACTTAAACAAATGTGGCTTAAGTCACATTTGTTTTAGTAAAATTTTAATTAAAATGTTTCTATTTAAAAAATAACAGCAGGTTTATTTCAATAAAATAAATATTTACTTTACAAAAATATTAATTACACAACTTGTTAATTGATTTACTTTTCAACTTTCTAAATTTAACTTTCTGCTTTTTAGTATTTTTCTTCCTGTTATTATCATAATTTTTTACTTATGATTTTAGTGAAAGAGTGGTTTTTATTAACTTTCTCCTGCTAATTTCAAATCTTGTTTTAGAAACCTTGCTATCACCCACATTATTTGAGCAATCGCCATAAGACAAGAAAAAAAATCTAATTTAAAGTTTTGTAATCAACACACGAAAGAACATAATAATCAACATAAATTATGCATCTAATAAAATCACAGTTAAACCGTATTATTCGATTTTGCAGAGTATAAGCACAGGAGAACGTCATAATAATCATATTTTGTACTTATTTTTTTAATGATAAAGAGACTCTTATTGACTTTTTTCTGCTTATTTAAAATCTTGTTTGAAAAACCGTATAAAATCTTTCTATCATCCATAATATTTGAACAATTGCATAAAACAAAGCAGTGAATACTAAAAACACGAGGAAAAGTAATTTCATGTTCTAAAACTGTGGCAGGAAGAAAAAAAATAATTCAAAACTTTGTAATTAGCCCACAAAAGTACATAAAAATCAACATAAATTATATACAATTTTAATAAAATCAGTGTTGACCGGTATTATTTGCTATTCTAGTGTTCTGGATTATCTCATTCTAAGATGCAAAAAGATATTTTAAAGTTAAAATGTTATTTTATCATTATAAATCTTAATAACTTTTTGTGAATAAGTGATTTATTTAAAAAATTTGTTTTGCATATTAGCTGCAAATTAACGATACCAAAACCGTAACCTTTATTTCTATCTAGATGTCACTTACAGAGCAAATCGCATATAAATGTGATAAAGTTTCCTTTTTACGTCCTTGTACGAAGTAAAGGAAGTATTGTAATCGCGAAAACTTTCGGGTATCATACTTAATCTGGATTATCTATTTTGACTGTTTCCGAATCCATTTGGACGATTGTTTTTGCGTGACGTCTCTACGTATGGGCAGAATAAAGGACTTTTTTTCCCAAAACATATTGAAACATATTGTAAAATGGATCGTGACATCTGTACGTACTTACGTATGCACGCATTTATCTCGCATATCTCAAAACCGATTAGCCACAGAACGTTGAAATTTTGTATATAGGACTGCTATAACACCTATTTGAGCACCTCCTTTTTTGTTGCAATCGTCAGTATTAAATATGTATATACCGACTCCTTACCCGGCTTAAAAGTCCTTACCCGGCTTTTATTTTCGCAATCGCTGGTCGTAGTCATATACTTCCAGTCACAGAAGTTTTTTAACTGAAAGTATTCATGTTTTGGCAATGTCAGTTAAAAAAAAATGACAAATACGGAAATTTAACGTTTAATACGGTTTCTCGGTACTTATATTTGTAAAAGTTTAATTCTCGTTATGAGAAAATAAGGTTATGGGAGGTTTGACTCCCGTGCAAAAGCTGCCCGGGATAATTAACTAATTAGTATGTAAAACCAGTTAAGTGAAAGATCCGTGTTTCGAACAACCCAAAGCCAGCAGATTTTCATGTTTCCTGCTTCAAAAATATTTTATTTATCTGTACAGGTTTAGGCATGAATGTTATTATGAAAGATGTAAAATGAAAACAAATTCACTTCACTGTAATGATTTATAAAATTGAAGGTCACAGGAAATAAAAATAAGATTTTCTAGAGATGAATGATGAATATTTTGAAACATCTTGAACTTTTTCTTTAAGCAAAAAGCTAGATAGAGTGAGGTCAGACAATATGGATGAATCTCAGATCCATTTTATAAGAATATAAAGGGTGAGGATATGACTATTAAAATGGTTTTATTACCTTCATTAGTGAAGTTCTTTCAACTAGCTGAAAGGGAGCGGGATCGATATGGCATTTGCTAAAATCTACAGGAATATTTAGCTGCTCCTCCTCCCAGGCTAGTTGCTAAAGGCAGAAAGAAAATTCATAGAGAAATACACAGTAGGATTTTCCAGACCTAAATATTTAAATTATGTTAATATTGTACAGACAAAGTACAGAAAAAACATCGGAGACACTGAAAAAACATCTTTTGCGCTTAAGCGCGAGTACGAACTGAATATGATTTATTTCATGTACGCATTGGATATTTACTAATGTATAATTATTACTTAATATATTATGCACAACACTAGATGTACAAACAAATTAACTTACCTCTTCTTGTGACATGTCTATGACTCTTTCTTTAGGCTAAAAAAATGAAAATAATTAAAAATACTTTTATTACTTTATTATATGCACTATAGACTAGCATGAGACTAAATTTTTCGAAGGTTAAATACCGTTTACAAGATTTCCACAACTTATTATTATTTGTATTAGTTGAAATTTTAGACGAATAAAGTAACATACAGTTTAACACAATGCATAACTAGAGATTTTTAGAGCAAGACATTAATTTCATAGCAAGAGTTTTTCGTTTGAATTTAGCGGGAATAAAAATATCTTAGAATCTATGAAAGTTTGCAAAAACTGCTAATATGCACGAGTCCATTCAATGTACCAGGCAAACAATATTTTATACAGAGGATGTTTACATATTTTAAGGAACGATTTCGAGGCCTTTTAATTAATGTTTAAAATGTAAAGCGTATTTTTTTAAATGTTCGATCCGATAGCCTTTTTTCTGAGCGACTAGTCTGCGTTTTGACTCAATGAAAGAAGAGCGTTTCGTAAAATTTCCAGGGTATTGATTTCCATTGCTCTTTTCCTATTTTCCAGAGTCCATCAATCGTGGTGGGTTTGCGATTAGAAAGAGATCTTTTCAGGAGGCCAAAGGTAGAATAGTCCATTTCTGAAACTTCTGGAGACATTGAAGGAACTCGTTGAAGAGGTATATAAGCAATACCTATGTTAGTCTTCATATTTTCAAGGAATGCAGTGGTACTTTTCGAAGTAGGTGATAACTATTTATATTACCATTCATATATTTCTGTTAGAGCATAAAATTCAGATGCAAATGATAATTCCGCTTCATATTAACACACATAAATTTATTCACCTATACTAGAATGATTACAAGCATAATTATTAGGCACACACCTTACGGTATTGTTAGGCTGAACACCTTCGTTTTTCTAAAACTAAAGTTACCGAATAACTTCAGAAACATGACGCTCGGAGCGTCAACTAACGGCGGGAGCTATCAGTTCATAACAAAGTACGGCTTGTTGCTTTGTCTCGATGAAGATTCACTCCTTGGAAGTCACTGGGAAAAAAAAGTGGAATTTCATTTGTACGTACCGGACATTAAACATTTCTTGATAGTATGTTAAATTGATTTTATCACTTTTTCTCACTTTTCTTATTTTAATTTTATCCCGTTTTATTTGTTAGCTGAATCCTGCAACAACCCTAAACCTCTTACTGAAACTCTCTTTGCATTGATGGAACCCAATTTTGCACATTTTTGTCTCTTCGTTTTTGGTAATGCATAGACCTTATTTTGTTGCAGTCATTTAAGTAAACCCATGCTCCATGAAGGGTCACAATGTGTTTCCATTTATGTTACACTCATACAGTGTTCTACAAATTGTTCTGCATTGAACCACATGCTTTGCAAAGCTGATGAATATTATGATTTTTAGCTTTTTTAATTTATATAGCTTGGTTTATTATTTTATGTCTTCTTATTACAGATATATTCAAAGACTTCGAAATTGATTTCTGCATCAGCGAATTTTCTCCTTTTGCTAGAGCTTTTACTTTAGAAACATTAGAAACAATCCTTACCTTTTCCGGGTATCATTTTGGAGTCTTCTTTCCATGTAAAATAATGAGTGATAGTTTTTCCGTTTCTTTTTAATAGTGTGTCTTATTTTGCCCTTAAAAAGTTAAATACTATGCATTTCATAACGCTTTTAAATTATGGAACAGGAATATTTTTCTTTGAAAAGCGCAAAAACATATCTTTCAGTCCACACTTGTTTACATGCGACATTTTGAAAGAAGAATAAATTTAAAAGTAGCAGATGATGTTTCTCATTTCAAATAAGTTGTTGCGAGTTATTACAAGATATTTGCTTCTTTTTTAATCCTTCAGCGAAGTCTTTATAAAAATGTGTAAGCATCCTGTGTACTAGTATATAAACATAAGGTGCTGGCCCGCGAAAAAAACTGCATTTCAATTTGATTTAATTTTAGCACTTTGAAAAAATCCTGTTTGCTATCCCTGCACCAGACTGCAACTAAAAATCTCAGTGGCTGGAAATTACACATAGTAAATATTTATCACTTTTTATTTCACGATTGTCATTTTATGAAGTTTATCACAGGTTACTCTACCTACAGACTTCTCACTCTAGTATTGAAAAAAACAGGGATTTAAAGCTCTTAGGACTGGAGTTTCTTACCAGCATACATTCGAATATAAATCAGCTATGCAAAGTTCGGCAGGTGCATCCGTCTCATTAGTTTGACTACTATTTGTTTAAATTTTTAGTTAATAAGATAAGGATTATTCAAAATCTAATAACCTTGATTAATGAAAAATAACGTTATGTGCGTATGGGTTCATGATTGATTGATTGCACACAGTTCCGATGATAGCTTGATAAAATTATTTTCTCAAAAGAAACGCTCTACAGTTCTAGAATATTTCACAGAAGTACTCGTACATCTCTTCTCCATATTGCCGAGCACAACCAGAATTTAGGTTTCAAACTATTTAAGAACGTTAAACAAAAGGCAATGCAAAGCGCATCTAAAAAGTGAAGCTCGCACTGAGTCGCTCAATACTCCGAAGTCAGATCTGAAAACTGAGTAAAAACTGAAAACTGATACTCTCTCTGGTCTTATATAGATTTCCTCCGACCGCTGAGAAATTTCCAGTACCTTCTGTTCCTCGAAATTGCTGGAAGTCATACAGTTACATAAGGTTAGATACCGTTGCAGTTGCATATTTATACGGGTCGATTATACAGAAACCGGACAAAGCTGTCGCCAATTTTGGTGACTTTTGAGGATTTCTCGCGAACTTCGGTGACAAAATTAGTCATTAAAACCATCGCCAGCTTGGCGCTATCCCGTCACTTTGGTGAGATAGCCATTTACATCGAGATTAAATAGATTTGCCCCTGTAACTTTATTTTCCCTGCTTCACTCTTGAGCCTTTTCACGTTACGTTATGCAAGAGATACTGCAATTTTAAATCTAATTATAACTTCACTAAAATTATTTACATAGATACAAAATTTGTAATATTAAATTTAAATTTTCTTCTATTTAATTATTTAAATTAGTAAATTAAATTAATTAAATTTTTTAAATTCTTAAATTAAATTAATTAGTTATTCAAATTATTAAATTAAATTATTAAATTAAATAATAAACAATTTAAATTATTTAAAATTAAATTAATTAGAATTAATTGCCTTTTTAAAATATAAGTATACTGGAAGTAACGTATGCTAAAAAGATTTCTTTCGAAAGGGACAACAGTAAAGTCTTTCGCAAAATATAAAAATAGTCTCTCTTGAAAAGAGTTTGAGAAATATTGGCTTAAGTTTCCTTAAATAAAAAATAGCTTATTAAATGACTAGAATTTTCATCCCATGAACTGACAGATAAACTTTCATACTTGAATGGAAAGCATTTAGTATGTTAAATATATTAAAAAAAACTTTTATGTAATATTTAATGAATTATAGTTTTCAAGCTACTAGAATTTTAAAATTATTTTGAAAAATGTATGTTGACTACCTTTTGCTATCTTATTTTTATCATTTTCGGAACTAGGTAATTTACTATACTTATGAAGTCAAATTTATATACATCCTTCAACAAATGAAAATTTCTCTACAATTTGTTTAATTGAAAACTTATAAAACTATTACTCTGCAACGTGAAGAAAATAATTCAGAATGTACTAGTCATCTGTTGCAGTTTAGTTCAACCTAAAGTTAAAAATCATGGAATTCTGTTAAGTTTCTTGTGTTTGAATTATGGTTGATGAAATGGCTAGTTTTAGAGTATTTTTATGAATATCCTTTTCTCAACAAAAATATATCAAGCGTATTTTTAACTATTTACCAAAAAGAAGTACAAGTGATAGAAAGCTTGTCTGTAACCCCTTTATAAATTTTTTGTAACTGCTGTGCTCACACATTTTCACATAAATATAATCGGCGAGGATACGATGTCAGATTAGTCTTTGAAAAGCTAACGAATAAAGATCTTATTTTTATATTATAATTTTGAATTACAGGAATAATTCATTGAGAGTAAATTAGACTTTAGATAGTGTGATATAAAGTATTTTAAATTACGGTACAGTCCACATCGTTAAGATGCTCACCCAGGAAAGGGACAACTTCTGAGAAAGAGAATAAACATTTAATAATTATAATATTATTCTTTAAGATGACTGCTACTTACAGAATAATAAAACACTGCTTTTTAAATTGCCAGTTAGTGGAATAATGTTTAGTTTTAACTTGAAAGATAAATTGGGAAAAATAAATGGAATCTTTTCTGTAAATATCGGACACAAAACTTTCTCTTGATAATACGTTGAGTTGATTTTAGCACCTTTTTCCCCCACTCTTCTTATTTTGAATCTTCCATTATTAGGGAATCTTGAGAGAATCATAAACCTCTTATTAAAACATTTTCAATTGCCAGAACCAAGTTTTGTACATTTTTGTTTGTTCGTTTTCGATAGAACAAAGGAATTTTTTTTTTTCATTTACGTAAACCCATGCTTCATCAAAAGTCACGGTGTGTTTCCATTTACCTTAAATAGTTTTCATGCAGGCTTCTACAAATTACTCTGTCTTGAACCCATGCCTCGGCAAAAGCTGGGGAACATTATGTTTTTTAGCTTTTTTAAGTTGTAAATCTTGGTTTATTATTTATTTATTGTTGCTACAAACATTTTTACAGACTTTGCAATTAATTTCTGTTTCTGCGAATTTCTCTTGTTAACAACTATCTAACTTTGGAAACATTATGAACAGTACATTTCTCATTTCGGTTGTTCGCTTAAATAAAGTCTCATTTCCATGTAGAAATAATGACTGACAGTTTTTACTTTTCCATTTTGCTTATTTTGCACTTAAAAATCTACATACTATGTATTTCATAAAGTTTTTGTATTATGAAATAGTAATATTTATCTTCGGAAAGCGCAAACACATATCCTTCAATCCATAGTTACTTACATTCAACATTTTGAAAGAAGAATAATGTTAAAAGTAGAAGCTGTTGCCAGAAATATTTATTCAAAAACATAAGCTTTTCTCTGATTCTTTACCGAAATCGTTCTAAAAATTTGTGAACAGCTTGTGTAAATGCCAACAACATGAGAAACGCAAATGTAGCAGCATTCAATACAAAAGTATTAGGAATGCATGTGAGCTACTAGATGTAATTTAATAGATATGCAGGACTAGATTTATTACCATTCTTTAAATGCCAATTATTTACCTTCTTTATTACCAATTCTTTAAACTCGTGCTTTCAAAATAAATCCTTACTTTACTATTTTTTTCTATAGCTGGCCAAGATATACGTATTTGCAATTATGTAAAAATATTAGGTCAAATACTGTTCAGATACATGTGGGTTTGATCCGTTCGATAGTTTGAAAGAAAAAGAAAGTTATTGCTTTTGAAATCTTTATTATTAAGGTAAAGTAAAAAAAAATGTTAATTCTACTCATATTAAATAACGATATATTATCTTTATGAATACGGTTTGGTTTATTTAATTATGGCAAAGCACACTAGGGCTATCTGCCTAAGGGGAAGGATGCCTTCGTGGAGGACTTTCTAAGGGAAACTGACTAGTATACACGTTACACATGTGGAAAACCACGAAAACGCCCATGCAGCCAGCCCGTTCGCGGGATTCGAACGTCGGACCGAACTACCAGTGTTCAGCGACTTTACCGCTCGGCCGCTGGTGGGCTCTTTATGAATACGAAAACTAATGGCAGTTGTGTTTAAACACTAAATTCGAATAAAAATAGCATCAATAATCATTTCAAGATCATGAAATCATTAGTTTTAAATACATAAAAATTATAAATGTGCGCCAAGTGTCGAAAATTTTAGAAACAATAGTGATAGCAAGGGTATACTCATAATTACCAAACAAAGGGGAATGCAGCGAAATCAACATTTTTGCAAAATTATTCGAAGGAATTAAGATTACTTTCGACTATTTTTCCTTTCAACTCACTTAATGGCAAAACAGTAGCTGCAGTTTCCTTTTCCAGTATTCAGTACGCTTTCCAGTTAATCATCATATATCATATTTGGATATTATCTCCTTTTTACCGCATGTTTTCACAATGTAATCGGGAGCACGTCCGCCTTGCAAATCAGGAGGTCTGGAGTTCGAATCCCTGTGAGGGCGCTGCACATTTTTTAAGATTTGTACTTCGAAGTAACCTTAATGACTCTACATATTAACTTCAGATATAAAAGTAAAGTGCCGCCCAGACGGTATAGTGGTTAGGGGATCCTTCTACTCTACCGAAGGGCCCGGGTTCGAATCCCGGAGAAAGCATGGATGTTTGTAAATGTATAGTGTCTTATGTTTGTAAATGTATAGTGTTCGATATGGGAGCACTCTAAATGTATGGCGAGCCGAAAGTCCTCTCGAGTGGTTGGTGGTAAGGAAAGAGAGGTGGGAGACCCTCCGACCCGTCCTCTCGGGGTGCTCTCTGTCAAAATTGGGGGCAGAACTGAGCGAAGTCGTACTGTCACCTGTATAGTGCTCAAGGCTGTATAATGCCCAAAGACAGGCATAATCTTGCTCTCGTTGCCACGATGAATTTCGTGCGCTTGTTATGAAGTTGCTCTCAGACAAATGGGGTAAGTAACAACATAAAATTGAATTAAAAAGTAATGAACAAAAATCTGTGAATATTAACTTGATCTACATAAAAAAGAGAACAATGCAGAAAGAAACCCAATGTGCGAGAAACAAAAGCTTTCATTATTGTGCAAAGGTAATGCTTCAAGAAACACTGGAAATAGCTCCAAATATCTTTGTAATTTGCATTTGGATAAACAAAATTTAAAGACGCATTTATACACTAGAAACATGTACCAAAAAAACCCATTACACACATTAGAGACAGAACTCGAAAAATTACGATTACACATCGAAATGCTTGTTGAACAGGCTATAGAAGCGTTTGAAGGAGTCCGAGGAAATCAGCGAGATCCGTTGCAAAAGCACTTGTCAAAGCTTAGATATAACGCTGAAAAACAGCATGCGGAGATTTATTGAACGTACATTAAACAATTTCGTCTTTTGCATTCTGACTTTTTGTGATAAATGTAATAAAAAACGCTTTTATATTATTCTTTCATATGCAGCAAAATTAATTTCAAATCATTATCTAGCTTTTGAGTTAAGCATTTACGCAGTAATAAAGTACCTTTCGCAGAAATTCTCTATTTAAAATAAGAATTTCAAGCTCGGAAATATATTTATAAATTAAATAGTGTATTAGAACTATAAACACGTTTTAGGACTGGCAGCTGGATCAATAATGTTTCGCATGATAGTGGCCTAATAACATTCATACAGCACTGCCTATCTGCTAAAAAATCAATGGAAAAAATATAAAATATTCTATAGACATACCAATTGCACTCTTTTTTGGATATTTGGAGTAGGAGGTCCGCTATCTGACTGCAAAGAAAAACATTTCGTTAAGTTATCCATGAACATATCTTCAAGCTGTAAAATTTTATAAGCCTAAATAACTAAAGCCATTACTATGACAGGACTCAGTATCAAAATGAAATAATATACGTTTATCATAATTTCAACAAAATATGTCGTTCAAAGTGTTTTAATTATTTTTGCCTATAATTGTTTACCTTCTCACTTGGATTTGCATCTTGTAAAGTCAACGCTTTTCGAAATATTGCTTCAAAAGCTGCTCGTAATCTGGAATCTGAAATAGATGAAATAAATAAACTTATTTAAAAGCACAACATATTTTAAATCGCTTTGCAAAGCTAGTGTTGTATTTATTTAACCTTTAATACCTTGATTTGTAAAACAACTATTTGCCTAATCTAAGTACACATCATAAGAGTGATTTCTACATCATAAGAAATAAAAATAATAATAAAAAAGAAAGGAATATTTAAAAGAACAAGGTAATGTACGCAAAGAGCAGAGAGACCAGATAGAAACAACTATGACAGTCAGAGGGTTAAACAGAATTATAATAAAAATAAGATTTTTGGAGAGGAAATGTAATTTGAACAGCCAATAATAACTAGCAAGATTGTACAGTAGCAAGTTAATTAAGGTAACATTTGCAATAGTATACAAGCAAAAAATAAGTATAAATATATGCGTTTTTGCGCATCATAATTTATATATACAGCACATCATAATTTATATCTATATTGTAGGTATTTTATCCTCCTTCCAGCATGCTTTCGTGATGTAACGGTAGCATACTCAACACGTATTCGAGAGTATTTATACTAAGTATGATACATAAGTGCAGCTAATCTGTTATTGGTTAATTTTTAGGTTGTTATGTAACATGGAAAGATCTCGAATTTGGGAGAACAGATGAACTTGTGGGGGGGGGAGAACACTGAATTCAGAATAGTTAATTTTGAGGTCACCAATCGTTTCTTAAAGCAGCCATCGTATTTTGTTATATCTTACATAGATATGTATAAATCTGATGTCATATGTGTAAATGAGAATTTAAAGAATATGTCATAATGAAAGAAAAGTCATGAGACACAAAATCCTTCAATGCTCTATTTGCTACTGCTTCCGTTGAAAAAAAAATGAAAGAAAGCAAATGCAAAAATAAACATGTTGCTATGGAATAATTAAGTAAAATATAAATACTTTTCAAATCTACCAGTAATAGTAATAAAAATAAATAATAATAAAAGCTACCAAAGATTAAAACTAAACTATATTATGAAAAACTGATATGACATTTTCTTATTATACAAAACATAAATGTGCTTATGAATAAAATTCAACTAAAAGTACTGGAATAATTTTTCAGATTTTTAAAATAAAAGTAAAGCAGTAATATAAATTTTCGTAACCTTGTAGAGTTGCGCGCCTCCAACCTGCACGCAACCAAGAGGTGACTGTTGAAACTGGAAAATAGACAGAGTCTTGCTAAGGGTTTAAGTCCCTTTTTATTCAACTTAAGAAATTACAATTGCGTGCTCTTGACGCTCACAAACTACGCCGACCCCGCGGTAAAATAAAAATAAGAACCTGAAAAGAAATAATAACAAGACTCTAATTAAGACACAATAACACGCCGAATAAATACTAATTCAGAAGTCAAACAACAAAAATCAGCGTTATACCTACAAAATTTTCACAGGACTAGTTTCGATGGTTTTACCGAACCATCATCTTCAGCTGCAAAACCGATTTTTTTTTTCCGGTTTTGCAGCTGAAGATGATGGTTTGGTAAAACCATCGAAACTAGTTCTGTGAAAATTTTGTAGGTATAACGCTGATTTTTGTTGTTTGACTTCTGAACAAGACTCTAACTACGAGGCTCTCTAAAAGTAACTAACCTCACCGCGTTTTACAATACCGCTGCTAATTCAGCAAACTTTGAATATCACGTTGAACAATTAACAATTCTCCGAGGCAAGCACACAGGCCGAAACGCGGGGTTCTTCAATTTCTGGCTAACTATCTCCGCGCTCGTGAAGTAAGAACAGCACATCTCGAACTCGTTTCCTTTCTATTTAACTCAGAATACTTCCGCTGATAATTTGAATCCTTGCGCGTTCTACTAAAATTTACATACTCTGGCATTGGCAGTTCCAGGGGAAAGTAAGGCTTGACAGGAAAGATAGTTTAAACTTAAAATAAATGTTAGTTAAAATAAATATAAACCCTACAACCTGATTATTTAAGAATGTTACTAGAAATGTTGAAGACTGAGCAAAGAAGAAATTAAAAGGCCTCCCAACCGGGATATTGGTTAGCGACGCTGACTGCCGTATCGAAGGGCCCAGTATTCGATTCCCGGAGAAGGCATGGATGTTTGTAAATGTATAGTGTCCGTGCGACATGGAAGCACTCTAAATATGTGGCGAGCCGAAAGTGCTCTCAACAGTTCGTGATAGAGAAAGATGGGTGGGAGACCCTCGGACCCGCCTTCACCCAGGGTGCTCGCTCTCCATCAAAATTGAGAGCGGAACTGAAAAAAGTCGTTCTGTCACCTGTATGGGTACTCAAGGCACTTGCCAACCTGTATGCCACTCAAGGCGCAATCTTGCACTCCTTGCCGCGATGAACTTCATGGGCTTGTTCTGATGTTACTGTTAGACAAGTGAGATAAGTCACAACAACAACAACAACAACTTAAAAGTAAAAATATGAATAAAGAATTTACATGCAAGGAAAAACAAGTAAAATGATACTGAAAAGCAAAATTTGCATCACGGATAAATAAAGATGTATTTGAATTAAAACATATTGGACGAAAAGACAGAAAAGTGAGGAAGATTTTGAAATGCATATGAATGTTAACTACTATTGGAATGGGCAATAAAAATTTCAGGCAGGTACCATGAATCCAAATGCACATGATCAGAAATATGCGTTGAATTACATAAAGCTATTTTTTGCGAATACAGAAGTGACTTACCTAAAGCTACTAGTAAAATAAAAATCAATTTAAATCAAAGAAAGAAATACTCGAGAATCTCTACGATCTAATACAAGATTTAAAAAGCTAAATAAACCAGTTTTGTTTTAATCAGCATGAAATACAATTAGAAAATTAGAATAAACTGGCAAAAACTGAACATTTCACACCAACATTGTAAATATTTTCCGATACAATAACAAAATACAAAGTAACATATAGGGTAAAGCAATAGGAATGATTTCTGATTATGTTCTTTTCCTGTAATTTTAGATATATTGTAAAATACAAACAAAACTTTAAAAAACGGGAGGATGAAGTGGGATACTTGCTTTCCATCCTTGAATATTGGCTTCATTTTGAAGATACAAAATGGGAATCCTTCTTTGACAGAGAAGTGTTTTAGATCTGTTTGAATTCTCAAAATAGAAGCATCAGAATAAGATCCTGACTTTAGTATTTCTTAGAGTGCTGTAGAGTCAATTACGAGAAGTTAATATTGGTGCAGCAGCAGTTAAAAATTTCCTTTTGCTTAATTGTCTGCAGATGCGACTTTAAGTTTTGTCAGTGTCTTGAAAATACTATAGAATGCCTACGACAATATAAAATAGGTAGGAATATTTTTTGTACAATGTAAGACGCTGCATGGTACTTGAACTAAGAGATATGTGGCATGAGAGACACAAAGCCATGAGAGATGTGCATAAACAAGAATTCTCCTCGTCGACCGTGGAATGGGATAGGGCAGCAGTTCTCAACCTTTTGAATAATCCGTGCCATCTAAACAAAAACTGAAAACCTTTAGTACCACCACTACAAAATACTACTACCACCACTACAAAGTACTACTACCACCACCACTCTTGAACAAAGCTCAGATCGCATAAATTTACGAGTGTTACAGAAAAAAACTCAATCAGGATGTTGGGGTTTTAATTTTTGAATTTAAATACTTTGCTTCTTTGCGTACCACCTATTTTTCTTTTGCGTACCACCGGTGGTACGCTTACCACCGATTGAGAACCCTGGTATAGGGTGTCCTTTTCGTCATGCAACTCATTTTCCGTTTTAGTGCAGATCATTAAGTCGTGAGGTTATATAAAATCACAACGGAGACATAATTTAGTGCTCTTTTTACATGCTTTCAAAAGACATTCCCTAAGGCATTAGGGTGATGTAGATAATCCCCTCACGCTTTGACTTAATTAATTACACATGCAAAATATACCCTAATGATATGGGTTGGCATCTGTTCCAGTAATGTTACTGATTCAAAAGTCTGCCGCAATTCCTTGATTTTGAAAGTTTACTTCTTCCACTAAAATACTGCGACCTGAACCTTATTTAACACAAATGAATCCTTCGCAATGGAGCACTTATTTATTATTTCCATCATTAATCCACTCTTTTGTTAGATCTCGAGTTAAGCTTTCCAAACTGGCTTGAATAATCGAATGTTTTTCAGAACAGAGGTGCTAACAATCATGCTAGGTAATGTCAGCAAACATGTTCCCCGTCTGTTACTCATAATCCGTATAAAAGTTCATGATAGTTTTTTTTTTATTATATTTCTCTTTCTGGGATTACTTTGCCTTTTCGTGCATGCTTGTAATGATCAGAATTTCATTCTTCTCTTAATTCTATATTATTCGTGAGGAAATTTAATCTATTGTAATATAATGAACTTTTTATGAACAGTTTATAAATATGCGCGTACACTGAAACGTCAATAACTTCCTGAAAGATTTATATTTATAGTTAATATCATAAAATGTAATACTATTAGACAGATAAAACCTGCATATTTGTTAAAGCTCCTTCAGCATTTATAATAAATAAAAATGAGGTCTGTTGTAATCCTAAAAAGGAATTTGTTTTTTTTTTCACTTTAAAAATACAGTAACCTAAAATTACAAAGATCAAAATGGCCAAAATAAAATCGTTAGAAACGAGAGAAAAGGAAGATCTAAATTTTGTAAGCTTATGGGATTGTTACGCAATATTATAGATATAAAAATATTTTGAAAAAGTCTTTTCGACAGGTACAAAGAGTTACACAATCAAACAGTGAAATAAGCATTTTGCTGAACTCATCAAATACAACATTAGAGGCTTAGATTATCAACCTGCTATTATAGATGCTGAATGCTAAAGCCTTAAGGCTAGGTCAGATTTTTCATTTTATTTTTATGAATGTATAAAGTATTTCTCCCGCCTTCCAAGCGTGCCTTCGTGGTGTAGTGGTCTGCATGCTGGGCGCGTATTCCAGATGTCCTTGGTTTGATTCCCGGTGAAGGCGTTGCTCATTTTTCATCTCTGCGTCCAATTAACCTAATGTCTCTACAGTGGCGCTCGAACTAAAAGGGTGGTGGATGATGATTCTCCATACCCAGGATCTGGCGATTGGGTCCCCTAAAACCCCAGTTGACCTTTAAAAGAGGGAGTATATAGGTATTTCTCCCGCCTTCTTAGTATGCCTTCGTGGTGTGATGGTCTGCATGCTGGGCGCGTATTCCAGAGGTCCGTGGTTCGATTTCCGGCGAAGGCGTTGCTCATTTTCCATCTCTCCTGCTTCCAATTAACCTAATGCTCTACAAATGTTATGTAGAAGTAAATCCAGAGTGGCAAATACTTGATAAAGTAACCGAAAAAAAATTATAAAAGGATTAAAGAAAAAATAGTACTAACACATTTCACTGAATTTTACTTAGCGAAGCTCCTAAACTTTATAGGGTTCCAACCTCTTCTCTTATAGCTATACGTGTGGAACCTCGAAAACTGGTAAACGAATAATCGCTTTAGCTCAGAAAACAGAAACATAAACTCAAGAAGGGTTAATTACCCTTTATTGCTCAACATAAAGATTAACAAATGGCTCTTTCTCAGAAAATACAGAAAAGCCTCCACTTGGGGTTGAATTCAAGAGTACTAGAAATGAAACTTAACTAATGCTTAACTAATAAGGTATAGACGAAGCTATCAAAATTCCCAAAGTTGGACGCTAAATGTTAACTAAACGGCGAAGCTATCTAGGGCCTGAAATACGGCCGAGTGTAGTAATAGCTTAGAGAGAGTGTAGCGAAAAGGCAAACGCGCGCTAATCAGAATCTCTGGCTCTCTAACGGAGTGAGTGGAACGTCGACTTAAGTACCGCTATTCCTTCATTTGTATTAACCGCGATTCTAAAAACAGACTCTGGCAGGAAATGGTAATCTGAAATTAGGAGGGATGGGAAAGTAACTTTAACTAAATATAACTCTTAAAAACTTAGGATAAACCTTACAACTTTAAGAAATGTTCTTACCGTGTGCAATACTCGAAGTTATAGTCGAGTATGGAGAATGCATTGGAGAGTGCTTCAAAATAGACTTTTTAGGAGATGTTGGAGTCATTGGAGGAGATGGTGGTGGAGAATTTCTTGCTGAATACTAAAAATAATTGCATACAATTAGAATAACTTCTTTAAATATTTAATCACATACTTACATATAAAATCTTCAACGGCAAACTGGAACTCGTACAAATACTATTCATATCTTACTTTTTCAAGCCCAGAAACAGGAACAACTTCAAATCTGGACATCTTTCTTTCTTGTTCTTGTACTGCTTTATAAGTTCCTTCATCTACAGATTGCCTTCTGGCAACTTCTTCCAATCTGCGTTCTCGACCCAAGTGCCTCTCCAACAAACGCATAAGTTCCATTCTTTGAACAGAGCCAAGTAATATCATGGAGTCTGAAAAGTACAAAATAATAAAAGTAAAAGAATATGTGTTCATATTTACTGTGAAATTATTCGCAAAATAAAAGAATTACTTCTTAGTAAATATTTTGGTTTCAAAGTGCTAATAACAAATTATGAGCTTTTCATCTATATTTTAGATATAAGTGTGTGTAATGAAATGGTTTATAAAATCAGAATCTATGATTCACACTTATAAAAAATCTGAAAATGCATTCATTTATTACATTCTGGATTTCATCAATGCGGTAAAATTTTAGGCATCGTAGAATTTATAAATTTGTCAAGAATAAACATCTTTAAGTGAAGCAATATAATTTTGAATAAAAGCAGGTTTTTTTTACTGTACATGCTCAGTGCATTTTAGAATGTTATTTTTTAGTTATATTATCATATACATGGGATTTTTTCCTGAAGAACTGTGTACATATATATGTATATTTTTCTTTCGGAAGAAGGTTTGGGTTTCTTTTGCAAGAAATGCCTTTAGAAATCATAGCACTCAAGAGTTCGTACAGTTCAAAAACTTTAGCAAAGATTTAAAAAATCTATTTATAATATCGTTATTTGACCAGAAAAAGCCCGACCCTGTTTGGCAATTTGCCTAAACACCGAGACTGAACTAAAAAGACAGTCAGCTAGATAACCACGACACTGAAAGGTTCATCTGCAGACACATAGAATTTTAAAACAACCCTTTCATAGCGTCCGTCTCTAATTCAATTTATACATAAGTTCTGACCTCTGTCTGGTGTTTGATTTTTTAAATATACTTGAAAAATAAGAACCCTCCATGCGAAATTTCGCATGGACACAACCCTCCACTACATTTTGCATTTAAATTGAGCATGTACATTTGTGCTCATGTTTGAGCTTTTCTTGATTTAAATGTACTTGAAAAATAAGAACCTCATCCAAAATCCCTTCCGCATAACACACCCATCCACTATATCTTGCGTATAAATTGAACATATGCATTTGTTCATTGTTAAGCTTTTTTTGATCTAATTATATATGTTCATTGACCAAGTAAATAAATCAAAATGGTACCTGAAGACTCCACTAACGGAAATGAGTGCAGTCGTTTATTGCCTTTTATAATTGTTTTAATTTCTCTGTATGTAGCACCTTCTGATATATATACAATTTCACGTACCATTATATCCTCTACATAAATATTATAAGCCCTGAAATGCAATAAAATTAGATTTAATCTTCCAGTATTAATGCAAGCTTCAGTTATACATAAAAATATATTAATTATTTATAGAGCTCTGATTAAGGAAAGAGGTTTAAATTAATGAAATTCAACTTACTGAGATGACGTAGTAATAATAGAAGGCAGGTACGGGAGTTTTTTAATTTGTATTATGCTATCATAAATAGATGGCTGGAGAAACTGAGCAATAGCATTGGCAATTAGCACTGCAATCTAAAAGTGGAATGAAAATCGAATTGCTAGAAAGTTAGAGTGAAAGCTGAGAAAAGTGACTTTCTAAAATCATAACAGTGTTTCATAATGAAATAATACATTTATTTACATGAAAAAAAAACAAGATTTTAATTATTATATTCAGGAAACAAAACTAGATTAAATCTTTATCATTTTTATGAGGTTGGGGGGGTTAAGCGCTATAAACATAATTATGAAGGTGATATCCCATTCTGGGATTTTCCGATTTAGGTTTTCTGAAAATGCCAGCAAAAATCGTGCCATTTCAGGCTCCCCACCTTCTTCAGGGGCTCTAGATGAGGGTATAAAAATCGTACCTTTTCAACATTACAGGTTTTAACCAGTTGGAAAGAGATTGGAAGGGGAAGAGTAGTTTTTCAAAGAAACAGGCTCGGCTAAATAAAGCACAGAAAGGAAAACATGTCATTTACACTCATGTCCATAAATTAAGGATAATTCGGAGTCACGCGGAAATCAAACTCTAAAATAAATATATCACCTGTAAAATCACTACACACATCTTCAAGAATCATATGCAAATTTCACGAAGTAACCAGATGACATCGATGGTACGTCACAATGACGAGAGTGTAAGAGAGTGATATATAAGGAATACAAGCAAAGAAGTAAAATTGTTCGCAGGCGTTTAAGCATTTCAGTGCAATAACCGAATAGTTAAAACACAAAGGACGCATTTGGATGATTTTTTACGTGGTAGAATTATCGGCCGTCTGGAATGTGGGCGTACCCAACTGGAAGTATCAGACGAACTTGGAATTGCCCAGAGTGTCATCTCCAGGCTTTGGCAACGATTCCAAGATGATGGTAATGGGAGTACACGTTACAGCACAGGTCGACCCAGAGTTACAACGCCGAATGAGGACCGGTATTTGGCAGTTACTGCCAAAAGAAACAAGCGGAGCACAGCCTCAGACCTGTCTCGTCAGCTCTCTTCAGCCACTGGTACGACCATTTCAAGGCAGACCGTGTACAGACGCTTAGGGCAGATTAGTCTATATGCTCGTAGACCTGTCAGATGCGTTCCACTTACTGCAACTCACTGTCGCCTGCGGTTAGCCTGGAGTAGAGAGCATGCATTATGGACACCGCAACATGTTTTCCGACGAGTCCAGGTTTAGCTTGCAGTCTGATTCTCGTCGGACTTTCATATGGAGAGCCAGGTACCCGTTACCACCAAGAAAACATCATTGAACGACAACGTTACGGTGGTGCAGGAGTGCTCGTTTGGAGTGAAATTATTCTGGGTTCCAGAACTGACCTGCATGTTCAAACTGCAACCATGACAAGCCAAATCTATCGGGACGTCATTCTGGAACAACATGTACGTTTGTTTCGGGGCGCCATGGGCGCACAATTTGTGTTTATGGATGACAACGCCCGTCTTCACCGTGCAAACATCGTAAGCGAATGCCTTCAATCGGAGGATATCACCCGTATGGACTGGCCAGCATTCTCACCGGACTTGAATCCAGTAGAGCACGTGTGTGACATGCTTGGCCGACGAGTTGCAGCCCGTCAACCTCCTCCTACATGTCTACCGGAACTTCGGAGAGCATTGCTTTTTGAGTGGTGTAATATCCCCCAATATCAGTTCGATAATTTGATACTCAGCATGCCTAGGCGTTGTACGGACTGTATTGCATCGTCTCGGAGACATACAATGTATTAACAATCATACCAACCATGTAATATTGTTTTTTTGTAAATAGGGTTTTTTTTTTTTTTTTTTTTTTTTTTGTAATTTGCTCCAAGGAGAAAAAAATCACTAATTTTTTTAATAATATCAAACATATAGCATCTTTTTTTGCTCTTTACCTTTTGTTTAATAAATAAGCTTTACAAATAAGTCAAATTTGTTTTGCTTCTAACTCTTCCTTTGCTTGATTTTACATTATCCTTAATTTATGGACATGAGTGTATTTGAATACCCTATAGTAACTCAGTTAGGCATATGATGGTAAGAGGTCCATTTCTATGTGTATGGTTTAACATTCTTCTACAGTGAAACTCATATTTTTAAATGTCTGTTAACTAATAAATCTATTTTATTAAAAACTGTGATAGTGGTACCACTTATGAATTTTATGATACTTTAGAATATTACATTTTTAATACCGATTTAATGCTTGCCAAATCCTCAAAACTTTTAATTTTTCTGTTTCAATGTGATCTTTTACTTTCGGTTTTTCAATTTTCATGATTATGTTTCAAGAAAGTAAAATAATAATACTATATTATAACCAAGTTTTAAAAACATCTTGTTTTCTTTATTACGTATAATCACCAATGCCATTAATGTTTTACTTAAGCAGTATCTAAAGTTCAAAGGGTGATATAAGTACAGTCACGTGATCTATCTCACTTTCAGGATTTGAATGAAAAGGCTGGAATGGGAATTGATTTTACCCACCCCATCAAGAGAGGCTGAAATGATGCAATTTTTTAAAAAACCTCAGTTGGGAAAGCCTGAAAGTGGGACATAACCATTACAAATTCATTCAGTGCTGTATAGTTTTATAAGGACAGGATACTTACGATCACCGGTAGCATATGTGACATTTGGCCTGTTAACTCAAATACGATAACTGAGGTAGAAACAGTATGAGTTGCACTTCCCGATAAAGCTGCAGCTCCTGAAATTCAGGTTAAAATATCCATTGAATAATAATAAATTCATTTATTTAAAATTAATTAATTTTAATTGCTTTACGAAATATCATGATAAGCATACACAAAATTAGAATTTAACGAAAGATTTCGTATTAATTTAATGTCATATATATTGCTAAAATGATTGAATCACTTTGAACAAAACATTCTGGAAGTATGGTTCTAGAAAAATAACAAACGAACTTCTTTTTTAGAATATTGAAAATTTTACATGCGTTATTTTACGAATAAAAATTTAAAAATAGGCACTTCTACTATTAACGTTCGCTATATCAATTCAAATGATGGATTTTACCAACAACAGCGTAACCTCCTGGTAATATCTTGAATATATTATCACCCATACGTATCCCGTCAGGAAACCATGCAGCCATACATTCTCCAACTAAACGTCCAAAGGCAGCACCTATGGTAGAAAGTATTGTTATATATATAAAAATTGGTAGAAAATGCTGCATGGCGTAAAAATATATATCGTAATACTTTCTACTAAAATATCACAGACATATTTGTGTTCTGAATTTCATCGTTTTATGAATTCTTATATTTAATGTCTCAAAATACTAAGATTTTCTTTTAATAATAATATAGCAATAAGTTAAAAATAGATATCTTCTGGAAAACCCCTTTATATTCCCAAAGCATTAAAATTAGAACATTTAAAATAAATAAATCTTTTGAATTTGAAGAAAAGAGATACTGGATTATGTTACTTGAAGCAAATTAAAAGAACAGAGAAGTTAAATGAACCTTACCAATCCGGAAAATGGGAATAAAAACACCAGCTGGTACTGGCAGAGTTGCACAAACCGTTGTTGTGATAAACTATAAGTACAATTTAAGATTAAACACAATGTTATGTAGAAATATAGAAGATCTAGAGTAAAAACATCGAACTAACAATGGACTTACGTTAATAATAATGAAAAGAGTAAGGTTGATGTATATATTTGTGTAAAGAGTAGTCCAGTGGCTAACAATAATTGCATCATCTACTTCAAGTTGAGAGCTCGACCAAGTGATATTACTAAACAGCTCCTTCATAACTTCGTGATTGGTAAGCTAATAAAAAGATGAAATAATATGCAGTATAATCACCTTCTTCAATCTAATACTAAAAATTCACATTGCTTACAATATATAAGAGGGTCGTTTTATTCAACCTCCGATGGACCATTAAAAGAAGACAAGCAAAGAAGAAAATGAATTTGTTGCCAAAAGTTATCTACAAAAACATGGTTACTTTTCGACAAAATCACAGTGAAGATGTCAGCATTTTTCATACTGGGGGTTACTTTCCGATCTGGTCTTCGCATAATGTTGTTGCCAGTGATGTGATATGGGCCTGGAAGTTGTTTTGAAGCTTCTTATTGGCTTTCTGGCAAGTTCTTCATTTCAGGGAAGAAATGACAAACACTCGCCACAAAATCGGGGCTATACGCCGGGTGATCAAACATGTCCCATTTAAACCGCTTCAAAATAGCCCCGACTTAGCGCCGAGTGATATTTAATTTTCCCTGAACTGAAGAACTTGCTAACCCTCTGAGTGGGATGACCGGCTTGATCCGGTCATGGAGATTTTTTACCCCTTAGCACCCCCTGAGGGTCGACTGGGAGCAATCTTGGCGTTCTGGTTAAGTCAGTATCTAGACAGCTGGAAAAAAATTAACAGTATTCACAGTGACTAGAACCATCATTTATACGGTGGTAGGTTCAGGCTCGGCAGAGACCATATAGTACTTTCTTGTCTGTCCCTTGGTTGTGGGGATGCTACGTAGTTAGATTTACAAGGTTGTTCAGGGGGACTATCTCCATCTGGTCAACACTGGAGGGGGGCAGATCCCTTAATTTGCGTTCTCTTTGTTGACAATTGTGACTAAGCGTTATATTTACCCAGACTTCGCGATTTTCTGTCCTCCTGGGTTGATCAGGGGTTAACCTCTTCAGATCGCCTTCAAAGGTTGGGGTATTTAACTGCATTGGAGAAAACTGACAGTCTTCACAGTAACTGGAAACTTCCTGTATTCGGTGGCAGGTTCAGGCTCAGTAGGGACCATATAGTACTGCCTTGTCTGCCCCTTGGTTGTGGGGATGTTTCATGGTTTCATACCGAAGGTTGTCCTTCGGGATCTAGCTCGATGTCTAACTATGTTCGATGTCTAACTATGTTCTACGATTTTCGGTGAATGCGTTGCAGTCCACAATTGACTTTGCGTTCTTGTACCCAGAATGAGCGAAACAAAAATTGTTCCCCTGTGTTGACCGAGGGGTTAGTCTTCCTTGGATCGCCTCTAGGGTTTGGGGCGATTAACCATGTAAGGCAATCTCGAGCAAGCAAGGTATAGGTACTTTTCCTCCTTAGTGCACTGTCACCTCGCACATATTAGCTTATAATTTAAGATATTTTGCTTTTTTACTTTCTTTAATAATGTAAACGTCATCTTAACGAATGTAAATTTACTAAAATAAGTAATTATACAAATTGAGCCAATAAATGCTGTTTAAATACGTGTCTTCATGATCCCAAATCCCGCGTCGCTCAGATAACTAGGAGACTAAAGATTCCACAACAAAGAGGAGCTTCAAAGCAACATTAATTACACGGGATGTGTTTGATGACCCGGCGTATAGCCCCGATTTTGCGCCGAGTGTTTTTTATTTCTTCCCTGAAAGGAAGAACTTGCTAGAAAGCCAAAGATTCCAGATCAATAAGGAGCTTCAAAACAATGTCCAAGCCTATCTTACATCACTGGCAGCAACGTTTAAGCTCATCTCACGTCACTGTCGGCAACATTCTCCGAACAGGAGATCGGAAAACTCCTACACCGATATGAAAAATCTCTGAATCTTCACGGCGATGTTGTCGAAACGTAACCATGTTTATACATAACTTTTAATAGATTCATGTTGTCCAAGTCTGTTTCCATCGGAGACTGAAGAATGACCCTCGTACTAGAATCATTTTGAAAAATCATGAAATCAGTTTCAATGATAACAGTTTTACGAGATACGTCTGCCTTTTCTGGAGTATGGAGTTATAACAAGTGCATAAATCTTATTACAAGTGAATAAGTAATAAAGAATGCTTATACAGAAAAAGAAAGGTGTTGTAATCAGTAGAAACTCACTGTAATAAATCCCGTTACATAAAATACATTACATAAAAATTATCAAGCAATTTAGGAATTCTTCACATAAGATGTTAACTACCAAGCTTTGTGCACAGCAAACTGTGAACCTTCAAACAGAACTCGGAGAAATGTTCACTGGCATACAATTTTAGGGGATTAATAAGCTTTATGCATATGTCACACCTAGAAGCCTCAAAATGTTATGCCAGCAACAGTACTCTAAGCCAGATTAAAAGAGTGATAATCTATTAAACGTATCAATGAAATGAAATAATATTCTAAAATTATAAAAGTGTATAAAAAGTAACATATAACTGCTGATTACAAAGATATAAGAATTACACTTTGAAATATTTTGAATACATTAAGAAGATTAATTAAATTTTTATGAGCAACCATGCAACTATGCGTGCTAGAAAAGTTGATTAATTCAAAGTTATAGGCATTTTAAATCATATTAGCAAAATATGTTTAATATTGTAACGTTTTTGTTGTTCCAAATCTGTATGATATTAATGTAAAATCAATAAGGAATTAAAAATAAGCCTGGTAAATGCACCCCGCTCAAAATGTACATGTAAATAATAGTCTATTTGTGTTATTAATAGAACGGACGATTTTCTTAGAGAAACTGGCTTAGTATTCATGATACACATGCGGAAAACACGAAAATTACCATGCAGCCAGCCCATTTGCCTGGAATCGAACCCGGGGCGAATAACCAGTGTTCAGTGACTTCACCGCTAGTAGTAAATATAGTATAGTATAGACTCAATTATGTCGTAGTTTTGAAGAGTCATTTTTATACTGTACTTTTTTTATATTAGATATTGTGTTGTAGATCTTAGCATATTCATTAAAATTTAAAGCTTCACCGATAGCAGATTAAAATAGTCTCAGCTTTATACAGTTACACTTAATTGTTTCGAAACATTCTGAAATTATTGCTGCGTAGCCAGATTACTTAGTGATACAAACATGTGAATACTACATCTTCAAATGCTGCCCATATGTTGTCACACATTTAGGCACAATCCAGTTCTGAAATTTTTTAGCTACCATCTCCGTAACATCCTTTAAAGTGCTTTTCATAGCAGCTTTGTAGGATGCTATGTAGCGAGTCACTAGTGTTCGCCAATAAAGTGTAATGACTTTATAAATTAGTAGTACGAATATTGGCAGATGAATGGAGCTGCTGAACGAGATTAATGTGAGAATGATTAGGCCTGAAACTGTTTCTATAATCCTAGTTGTAAAACACTTTGTAACTACTAGATATAATTAAAGATCATAACGTTTTTGTACTGTACTGCATTAAAAACCTGTAATCAATATTTTATAGCAAGTCCTAAGTTGACATAAAGGGTTAAAAAGATATAGGAATTAATTTTAAAATAAAACATAAATCATATATGTTTATCGTTGGCTTCGAATTGTAGAGAATGTATTGACTTACCTCTTATATTTGAAAATAGTGACTTTGTAGAGACATTAGGTTTTTTTTAAAAGCAGGCAAGATGAAAAATTAGCAACGACTTCGCCGAGAATCGAACCTCGGACCTCTCAGTTACGCGCTGAGCGTGCAAACCACTACACCACAAAGGCTCGCTAAGAAGGCGGGAGAAACACCTGATATACTGTCTTTTTAAAGGGCGACTGGGGCTTTTAGGGGTCCCAATCGTCAAATCCTGGGTGGGAAGAATCATCATCCACTAACCTTTTTAGTTCGGGCGTCACTGTAGAGACATTAGGATTTTTTTGGAAGCAGGAAAGAAGAAAAATTAGCAACACCTTTGACGGGAATCGAACCGCGGACCTCTCTATTACGCGCTGAGCGTGCAGGCCACTAAGGCTCGCTAAGAAGGCGGGAGAAACACTTTATAACCTGAGGTGTGATATTACACATGACATTGGGAAAAACGTGGCTACAGGTTTTAATTTCTTGAGCGTTAAGTGTAGTAGTTTATATTATTACATGTACTTATTACCTAAGTATACTTTATATGTACGAAAAAAGGAACATATTATAAATGCCAGTTACTGTAGACAAATTGAGCTCTACTGTATTGCCTTAAGTGTAATGCTCCTTCTATAAACTTATAATGCCGACAAAAACAATTATCATCATTACTTGGTGAAATACCTTTGTAATAGATTGATGGGCACAAGATCAAGTTTGTCAAAATGTTCGGCGTTTTATACCTCAACTATCTAAAACATGGCTAGTGTGTAAACTATTTATCCAGATTTAGCTCTTTAAATGCTCCATTATGCTACACAAATGACAAAATAGAGAAACAAAAAAAAAAAAAAAAAACCCTGCTATCAAATTATTTTAGGTATTTTCCTATAAATATATGATTTTCATACATTAAATATTAACTCACAACAGATTTATAAAACGATTATTTCCCACCAGCTCAAAAAACATATATTCTGCCGAAAGTACAAAAATATGCATTTATCTTTTAATTACGTGCATATTACATAATTAAAGGTATGTTTGAGAGACAATAAAATGTATGCTTGGGTAATTAAATTTTATCTATAAAAGAAAATAATTTAACATTTTAAACATACCTCAGCAGCCATAAATTGTCCTAAGCCCAAAGGAAACGTGAGACTAGAAATGATTATGGTAACGATGGCAGGGTACATAAAACGACTGGAGAGAAAGAAGATGGTTATAATTTTGGAATGCTATGACAGAGTTTAAAAAGCATTGACATTCACATATCATTTAAATAAAAGAATCAAAATTCATACAAAACTAAAACAACTGCTGATAACGCTCCAGCAGTACTTAAAAATTTTTTGGGGGAAAATTAATGAACGAATTAAATTTTCCAATATTGTTGAAAAATGAGCGCATAAAAATCACTGTAAGACAGCAACTAAATGAAAATATAATTAAAATAATCACAAATAAAAATATCGCGTTTGTTCAAATTACAGATGAATAGATGAAGGACTTACGGATGAATAGACGTAGGAATTACTGATTCCAGAATTTATTCTAACTTATTTTTAGTCTCTGAATAAGATAAACTAAGCTAGAAACTAAGCTGTTTTGAAATATAAGGCAACAGAATTAATACCTAAATCCATAATAGTACAGAAATAGTAAAATAGTTTGGTTTGAAGCGTGAGAATTCGCATTTTTCTGCGCGAAAACTGATAATTTTTCAACAGTATGCGTTTTAAAGAATGTTATTTCTTGTCTGAGGTCATTTTTGGTTTGCGTCTAAATTTTATTTTCATTTGTCCCATTAAATTCAAATTTTTCTTCTCTTAGGTTGTCAGTTTGTTTCAAATGGGCTTCTCATTTGAAAGAAACTGTAAAAAGGTTAATCTACCTAACAGAATTTCTTGAAATAAGTTTAACGACTGAAGTAAGTTATTACAAAGCATGTCATACATTTTATATTTTCTTGTAAATGAATATTAATACTTTCTGCACTGCAACTGATGCTATGAAATATCTTACGAAATTGACTGAAACGTCTTTCTAGCTTACTTTTCTAAGCAACTATTTTACTATTTTACAACTGTTTCACCAAATTCTTTTAAATGAACGTAAGTACAATGAATTAACGCAAGTATCATAAACAAAGTTTGTCAAGAATTATTTTTTTTCTCTTGTATTGGAAAATGCATTTTATATAAAATTAATCTAAAATAATAATATGAAAGGGAAAAGCTATCCTTTATAATAGAGCTATAAAGCAAAATCTGCATTTTAGGCAGCCTGAATCTGACTAAAATGTATAGTAAGTGTTTTAAAATATGACAAAGTAAATTTATTTTAAAATATGACATTAAAACCCTTTCCATCAAATATGTCGAGGCAATCAAAAGCGAAAGTTATTTTTTAAATTGCGTTATGAACCAAGTGATATGACGTTGTGTCTTTCCCTGCATGTTTTTTCAAAGCACCAATTGTAATAATAAAAAATATTCTTGGTAGGAGGAGGTACGGTCCACTTGGAATATACAGATCTGATTACAATTCCAAAATATTAAATAATTTTAATGCAACCACTATTTTATATTTAGTCGAAAACCTAGCATTAAAATCTAGCTTTCTTTTTAAACAGAAAGGTGCTAGCTTTAATTAAGTGAATTAATAAAAATTAATGATATGCATAATAGTAATTAGGAATATATTATATATATAAAACACGCAATTATTCTTAAGCAGTACTCAAGAAGTACCAGAGTAACAACGAGAGAAAATCGTAATGGCAAATTACCTCAAGAGAAAATTATAATAATAAATTACTTTAATATAAGAAAAATCTATTACGTACAAGTCAATATAAAAGTAAAAAATGCAAAAGTTAAGTCATAAAAGTTAAATCTTTCAACCAAGCTAAATGATGACATTATTGTAGTTAGTTGCAAGATGGTTGGTTAATAACTGTTTTTGATTAACAATTTAATGAATATTCAGTTGAGATTTATTCTTAGAATGAAGACTGAATGGGTAATATGTTACATAAATAAAACAAGCTTAATATTTTATGTAAATATATTTGCAACTGTACAAAAAGTTTTGTATTCTCAGTATAAAAATAGATAAAATCTTTTAAAATATTATAATTTTACTTTTATAAAACAGATTATTTCATTGGAATTTTCGGATTATTATGGCACTAAAATCAGCTGTCTGACAAAGTTAGTTGGGAGTTGTACATGATAATGAAGAATGATAATGATTATTAAAAATTAACATATAGTAAATTCTGACGATAAAAAATGGTATACTTTCTTTGTAGGAAGGCATTTAGAGTCTTATGTCGCCGATTAAAATACACTATTTGCCGATGGAGCCATACAAAGAGAGCACCTGCAAATCCACAAACTGCTCTGAAAAATTAAAATTAAAATATAATCTTTTTAAAGAAGGCCATTATCCATGATTACAAAGTAATCAATCTATCTAAGTGACATGTAATAATAATGAGTACAAAAGAAAAAAATAGACTCGAAGTAGCTAGTAATATTTAAAATACTTAAAAAAGCAGAGTAAGGTAAAATGTATATAGAGTATTTGTTACTCAGGTACACAGGTCTTTACCTGGATACTTGCTGTGTTTACGAAATCAAGCAGACCTTAAGTCAGATCAATGTATTTCATACACTTCCTTTATCACTATTGTCAAACAAAGAGCCCTTAACTACATTATTTTGTAAATTTGATTGAATTTAAATGTTATTGTTATTATGTTGAGTTTTCGGAGCACATGAAAACTTACATAGCAAAATGTCCCTCGTCACGAGATACAGTAGAACTCCAATTATCCGAATCAATTGGGATCGGACCCCATTCAGATAATCAAAAATTCGGATAATTGGATTTTTTCCGAAGAAAAAGGCCTACGTGCACTTTAACTAATTACTGTATGTACTGTATGTTGAAAATGGGAGGAATAAACTATTTTTAAAGAAAAAGAGGTTTTAATTAATTAAAATGAAAAGGTAACAATTTCACGTACATGTTATAGAGCGTACTGTACAGTACTTACAAGTGCTGAAAGTCATTGCTTGCTGGACATCTCGGTCACAGTAAGCTGTTTAACTGTGTTCAACCGTTTTCGGGCAGCGAAGTCGCGCATCCGCTTGACAATGAGAAGTTGCATGTGGTCACACTCGGGCTGACGCTCCATCCACTTCAACGCAGTTTTAAGGCCGGCAAACCCTTCACTAGCTGATGGTTCCGTGTCTTCTTCAACTTCGACATAAGAAGATCAACACTTTTTTCTCTTACACTTTCAGTAAGTTCATCATCATTTAGAATTTGAAACCCAGGGTCTGACGAATCACACACTATCCATTCTCCTGTACCCTTAGCAATAACTTCTGAAAAATCAGGGATTTTCAAAAGAATGTTTCTTAATTCCTCAAGTGACACGTCATCCTCATCTTCTCCTGTCTCTTCCCTTTCCTTTTCTTGACCTTCTTTTTACTTTTTCTCTTTTTCCTTCTCTTTTTAGTTTATTCTGAAAAATTCTGAAAGCAATTCGGATAGTCAGAGTTCGGATAGTTGGAGTTGAACTGTACTTATACGAGAGTATATATTGATCCAGGCGTTATTGAATGGAAGCCATATTTTATCATCTAGTGTTTTCCTAGAAAACAGATGCTCTATAGTAAGAGAAGGATTTGCACTTTACGAATCTATTCTAGACTCGGTATACTTTTTTACAAGTGAACGGTTTTTCTAATCAAGAAAACTATCATAACTGATTTTGGACATATTTGCTGATATACAGCATTGGTATCCAGACCATGAAATCCACATGTATCACAAGAGCTTCACGATACTCACAACAGAAAGATGATGCGGAAATATAAAAATTGATATTCAAGCTGAAAATTAGATTATTTGTGGAAATATTGACTGAAATATGTTATTAAAACTATATTTATATTCCTAGAGGAAAACCTGTAAATTTACCTGGATAGATTATGTGAAACTTTATTATTACTGTTAAATTTACGTAGCTTATGTGAAGAACGTAACCTGTAAAATACTCGGTTTTCTTCGCAGACTTAAGTTATGCAAAGTCAAAACTATTCTCTGAATTTAAAGTTTGAACTCTACATTTCTGTAGTACTCAAACAGTAGCTTTTATTCGACTTCCTTTGGATGAGCTTCCATCAGAACCAGGGATATTCGAAAATATTATTTTTTTCTAAGCCTTGTACTTAGGACAATCACTGATGTTCTGTTCTATGTGAGCAAAGGCTTATTTTGTAGGAAAAATCAAATTTTCAGACTGCTGTTTCCTGACAGAAAGTTGTGATAAATTCTTAACATAAAGTTATCCTAAAGAACATTTATAGATATGTGGGAAACATCAGCAATTAAAATTTGAAGAAACATAATGGTCTACAAAATTATGCATCACATCTCTGTAAAATTAGCTTAAAATCCTAGAAAACATGTGTGATACTTTATCCCCGGATCTGAAATAACTTTTCGATTAGTCTCTAGAAAACAAGCCTATTATCTGAAAAGCTTGAGGTTAGATATCAGACAATGGAAACTCGCAAACTGAGAGTGCTCTTTTTGCAATGAATATTAATAATTCTAGTGACAACATGAGTGGTATGATATCCTCTGCTTCCTTTTTATGCTGTAAAAAACAGCGTAACAGTGTTATAACACTTTCATAAGCACGCTGTCTATCACTACAGGACTCAACGGAGCTTCAGTGCCCAGAGGGACATACACAAACATTCCTGAGTGCATGGGGACTCATCACACTCGTGCAAAACTCGCGAGTATTATGTTACTCATGGGGAATTACTATATTTTGTTTGCGAAATAAAACGGAAACAAAACGTATCTCATACTTAGTGACCAAACCTGAAGCATGCTTTTCGTCTAATGACTACATTACAGGCCTACGAACCCAAATATCCTTGGTCCTCACTAGACCGCAGAAACTGAGCACCTTCCATTCCCAACGGTACATGTGTTACTACTTCAACCAGCCTTAAAAGTACTAGTAAATCGCTTCAATTTCTGTGACCTTACTGTATAAGTTCTCCCCACTTTCTATATTATTCGTTAGCATTTATCTTTTCATTCGTACCCCAATTTCAGCATCTAAGTTTCTCTTGTATATTCTACCCTTTATTATCTTTGTTAGTGAATTGTTTCTAGTTATGTTTCGGTTTCCATACAGCTTTTCTTATTAGCTTTGTTTAAGCCATTTTTCTCTACTTTTTGTACATAGAATTGTGTCCTGCATTGTATCGCAATTTGCCCCTGGTATTTGGTGCATAGCCTAAGTTGTATTTCATATACTGTTCTTTTCTGTTGTTTCCTTATCAAGTCAGGGGTCTGACAGGCATTAGTTCATATACAGTGCACTTCGTGTGACTTTTGCGGCTAAGAATATTATAGTGGTGTATCTAATTACGTTAATTTGTAAATATTGTTACTGATAAGAATGAGCGTGCAACTTAGTATTCTAAATGAAAATATGAATTTCGCATTTGCTGTTAAACTGCACCACACTGAATTCTGCAGCTATCAAATTCGTTATTTATTTACATTTTTGAAAAAGATTATTTCTACTTAAAAATGTAAGGTTTACTTGAATTGATTAAATTCTATAATTCTTCCTGAACTTCCTTGTATACAGCACATTATTTTAATAACTTCAAACCTAAAGCATGTATATCGGTTTATGTATTTAAAATATGATGGAGGAAATTCTTTTGCTTACGAATTTTAAATATAAAATTTACCCAATCAAAGCAAATGCTAAGAGCTCTTGAGGATCAAACGGAAAATCCAAAGAAAATTTTGTCCTGAACAGAGCAGTAATAGTGTCTGAAAAAGAAAGAATTTCAATTACAGTGACTACAATTTAAAAACGCTAATTATAAGAGGAAAAATACGGTGCATATTTTTTAAAAAAATAAATAAAAGAATAACAAAAAACTGCAAAACTGCATAATTAATACAAATTTAAAATGTTTTGCAAGCAGTTTACCAAAATTTGCTTTCTAAATTAAGTAAAAGTGATTGATTGATCTGATAATTAATTTAGATGTAAAATAAATAATCTGATGTGGTCAGATTCGAGACCATTTTACATTTATTTAAAAAAAGATATAATTTCTTCTAATCTTCATCTAATCTTCTAATCTTAGTAATTTCAGAGAGATATCATAATAATAACTCATTAAATTAATAATAGAAATACCTTCATCTTCAAACCATACGGCAAGAAGTCTATATACCACAGCCCCGCAACAAGCAGCGAAGAATCCACGCCAATAGTTGCGCACAGCAAAAAACACTGACGTTACTTCGATGCTAAACAAAATACCTACAACGAAATGACCACATGTATGAAATTAAACAACTCATAATTATTTCCTAATAAAGAAGCTGCAAAAATGCTTTATTTGTAAGCGCGAATACAAAGGTCTGCTTAAAGAAAACTTGGAGGTTAGATTTTAAGGAAGTGAATTTATCAATCATAAAAATGAGTTTATCGTAAAAAGTAACAATAAACAATTATTCTATGTTTATTTTTTTTTCCTTTCGCCTGGCAACTGTAAAACTGATGAAACCAAAATATGGCATATTTCTTGCGGAAAATTTAAACAATGTGTGTATAAAATGTCTCGAAATTCTTTGCATCACTTTTGCCTACCTTATTTTTTTCCCATCAGGACATGTAATTTTATCACTTGCATTATGGATTACTGAATAGACCACGTACTGCTAACTGACAGGGCTATACTGTAGAGATATTAGACAATTTTTGAAAGCAGGAGAGATGAAAAATGAGCAATGCTCTCACCGGGACTCGAACCACGGACCTCTCGAATACGCGCCGAGTGCACTCACCACTACACCACGAAGGCATGCTACGAAGGCTGGAGAAATACCTTATAATACAAATAATTAATGGTACAGAATTTAGGATTCGAAGTAATGATAATAAATCATGTCACTAAAATCCATAGATCATCTATCCGCGATATTAAAGTCGTATAAACTACCCACAACTATAGAGCTTATGAATTTATTGTGGCAACAGAAAAACACCACTCGTACATTTTAAACCACAAACCTTTCCTTGCACGAAGAGAATTCCCCCTCCCCGGCTTCCTTTAAAATTTGTTTTTCATTGAAATTTGCATTAATATTATGTGGGTGTTTTCCTGTTGATGTACACGTAACGTAACTCACTCGGGTTAAAAAAATACGAGTAATTCATTGCAACTGCATTTACGTTTTCAGTCTGCCAGAAAAAACATTCAATGAAACGAATTTCCTGGAAACTGAAACATACAAAAGATACATGCAATATGAAGAGCTGGACAGCAATGTATGCGTATGAAATCAGCAAAATGAGAATTCTGAGAGTATGTAGCTTTTAATAGAGAATAATAAAATCACCTGAAACATTGCACATTATGCAATGCCTCAAGTGTAACTAACTAGAATGGATCGCATTTTACTCGTAACTACCTTATATACCCGTACCTTACTCCTCTTTTCCCAATAATGTCACAGCCTGAGAGCTGGGAGGAGGCGAAATACGCGGTACATAAGTACTTCTTTACTAATAAACGTAGCAAATTAAAAGGTACGCATAAAGAAAAATTAATATTATTGTATCATGTATTTCAAAGGAAATAAAAACTGTGTAGTATTCTAATTCTAGATAGATTTGGGAGATGATTTACAGTTTCTTGCATTTTTACCTTCTGCAAACCTATACACTCTTGCAAGAGAGGTAATGTATTCGGTCTTAGAATTTGATAGTACGTTTTCAGTGAATAAGCTCAAATTAAGGTCCCTACAACACGTTTTTACTACTTTTTAGAATGATGTATGCCTGTGTGTATGTATGTGACAATATTTTCGCCGCGGTAACTCTTAGATGAAAGTTCCAAAAATTTTCTGTTTTCTGTATTTGAGCTTTCTGCATTCGTATAAAGTGTTGATTAAATTTTGGATAAATTTGGATAATCGCAAGCGGTACTTTACATGAAGCTTTTAACAGTTTTTGATGAAAAACGATATTAAAATAAAATCTAAAACTTTCCAGCTTTAATTTTTAAGACTTTTATGTCGATGTGAAGATAGATTTGGGCTAAAACTAATGAAACGGAAGTAATACTTGAAGCTTTGAGCATAATTCCGTGAAAACATGTATCATGATGAAACCCAAAACTTCTCAAATCTGATGTTTTAAATAAATATGTGATTGAGAACAATCTTATTACATTTATAAGCATTGAATGTATTCTTAGAATTATGCTAATTGCAACAATAATAAGCTCACTATGAAAAGAAGGCTATTATTATAAAGCAGTTAAAATGAGTTACTCTTGTTTTGAAGTAATAAAATATATTAGCTTCACTCCTCAAATCTGTGTTAGTTTCACTTTTGTGTGAAGTTAATTTTTAAATAAAAGCATGCTACTACCAAACTTTATTGTCAAGTATTATTTTTAAAGAAATAATATAGCAAGTATTAAAAATGTACGACAAAACTTAACACTGTATTGGGAATTCTAAACATAGGCTAACTTTGAAGATTTTGCGGTTTTGTTGGTGAATTTTAGGTGGCATATATGCGAAGAAAATGGAATTTTATGTGGCAAAGGGCGAAGACAATAATATATAATAAATAAAGCTAAAATGAGAAATAAAAATGTTAGTCATCTTATAAGAAAACTAAGTATTTTATGCTATCAACTAATAAAAGACTGCTAAAATTCTATGGCAACACTTAATAAGCTATCGAAAATTAGAAAGATATGCTACTGTTAAAAATTTTGCTTTTGTTAAGTCACTGATTCGTGAATCCGAAATATTATATGACAGGAGAGGTACACTAGTGATCAATGTGACATTTTCAATCAAAGCAATGAAAGAAAATGTGAACGCAAGCACATATAATCATCATTTTTCATTATAGTATGACAGAATAGATTAATAAAATATGAGCAGTATTTCTAATGTAAATAAATACAGAACCATACAGTTGTAGGGTTTCCCTTAGTTCATTTTGCCTATAATTCAAATTTTTATTATCTTTCCTAAATACCTCAACTTCCCTTCGCATTTCCTCGCCAGGACGTAAATTTAAAGTTAAGTGAATATTTAAACAGGTGAATCTTGGAGTTTATTCAGAGCGTGTTTTCGCTAGCTAGCACACGTTTCGTTTCTGACCTTGTTATAACGCGGAATTGCTGTCACGCCTTTTGGCCATTTGTATAATTATCATGCTTGTTAGGGTGTTGAGTCAGTCTAGTTAGTCGTAACTTAGTGTTAATCCAGTACTATTCTTTTTAGACTTGAATTGATTTGTGTAGCAACGCTTAAGTTCCACCGCAAGTTGTCGGTGTTATTGTAAAATATGAAATACGTGCCTTTCTGTTCAAAATCTAAATTAATAAAGGGTTATTTTCACCCTTCTTCTGTGCTGGTGTTACTTAACGCCTGTGCGATAAGTCGCCAGGTTCATTAGTAGGATCTAGATTAATTTATTTATGTGGCCAAAGAGAGATAAATTCTATACAGTATCTAAACAAGTTATATTTTATTTACGAACCATCAGCCGGAAGTAATACTTTACTGTAAGCTGTATGCTACTGAAAATACGTATTTGGTGGGAGAACATGTGCTGGCACACAACAGAATTTTTTATATGGCAAAGTTCATGTGCCATATTTTTTTCGTTCTAAAAAATGTAACTTTATATGTTATCAATAAAATGCTGAAGAAGATAAACAGTATTTTAAAGCAAAGTAAACTGCCTTAAAAAAACGCTTTCATGGATAACTCTTTAAAGAAAACTAGCTTATATTAATGTTACACAAGGGAAAAGTCGACAGAAAATCCATGCAGCGAGCCCATTCATTTCGGGAAATGAAAGTTGAAAAATATTACAAACTTAGTTATCTTAACCATTTGCCGCATATAGATATGAAATTCTGAGGACTAAACAATTTATAATTCTGAAAATAATATATATCGTCAAACAAAATATATTACCTCCAATCGGAGCAGCAAAACTGCAAGCCACACCAACAGCACAAGCAGCTGCAAGCATTTCACTTGTTCTGGATTCATTCTGCAATAAATTTGTAAAGAAGATAGTAAGAATATTCCATGCATTCAGATAAAAGCATTTTATATATTTATGTAATATATATGAAATGGGAAGCTACAGATGTGTGTGAATTTTATAAATATGTACCATATGGAAATATTACATACAACTGCGACGAAATTCTTCAAAAATACATCAAAATAGTACATTCAAAATTGTGAATAATTACATTAATGAACTTTCAATTAATTTGAATCACCGTTTTATACTCTTCTGAAAGAAATAACTAACTTCATATATTCCTTTGAAAGAAGTAACTAACTTGCTAAGAAGTGTAGCAACCATGCTCGATATGTGCACAAAAGGCCCCTGAAACGTAAATGTTGAAACAAAATAAATGTAGTTCAAAGACAGATTTCATGACAATATAAAATATATATTATAATAAAATAGAATTCAAGAAATGCATAAGTTATATAGGCAGATTTAAAAAAAATGGAGATGCACTACACAAATGCATTATAAAAAAAGAGGTTTGCAGTTCTTTACCTCTTTGCCAATAGGTAGCCCACTACCTAATGAGCATGTTAACCCAATCACTTTCGAGACTAATGTTCTGAAGCTGAGATATTCCTTCAGAACTACACCTCTTAAAATAGTTTTCATTTCAGGAATGCCTGAACCTAGGAGGGAAAAATGAAATTACTGAAAAGTATGTTAAAAATTCTTATGGTAATTATAGTTAAGTTTCAGGTTTTTTGTTCTGAGTTAGAAAAATGAATGCCATATTCGGAAGAGAAAACCCCCGACTAACTAAATATACCATATACATATATTTTCACTAAAATTGATAAATATTACATAAATAAAACGTTTTGGTATTTAATAACGTATTATATTACAGTGAAAATAAGTTGCTGAAATTAGTTGTATGGAAAAAATGTGGATTGAACCTTAGAAACCGATTTTATATAATGGTTCAATATTCAGCTCTTTATATGTCCTTTACTCAGTATTCAGTATTAATACTTTATTCAGTATTCTACTCTGAAGTAGTCATTATTTCAGCCGTTCAGTTCGTATTTGGAGCTGGTTCTTTCAAATTCCATTCCTATCCTTGAGATTCTAATCGCATGACTTCAATAATATTGATTCTAATATGACTTCAATAATTCTGCTTATGGTACACCATTATCAATTTGCTTCCCACCACTCTATGACAAATCTGATCATTCTGCTAAACAAAAACATGGTTTTATTTTGTTCTCACATTATCTTGCTCTAGGTGTTTGCTCTTCGTATGTTTCTTACAAAGGAACACAGTTATTTCAAATCTTTTGTAATCGAAAGAGGCTGTTCTCCAGGGTTATCGACAGAATATAAAACATACTGTTCTTGCCATCGTAAAAGATATACCTATTAAAACTAGCTACAGTAAATTTATTGCCATGTCATATTCTGATTCCTGCTGCCATTCCAAAATTTGTTGGTTTTTCCAGAAATTTAATCGTTATTTCTCATGTATGAAAAAAAGAATGTTCTCTCGTGTCTTTTTTAAAGAATCTATTTCAAGTTTAATTTTTCAGAAATTTATAGTATTCTTTGTCATTGTGGCTTGAAATTTATCTGCTAAACTAAAAACATTGTTAAAGTTTCCTATTCAGGAACATGATTACAATGTCAGAAAGGGATAAATGAATAAATCTTCAATATAATAAACATAGTTGATCCTTCATCACATATTTGGTTTTAAGTCACCTAAAACTGGTAAAAAAACATGTATAGTTAGTGAGTTAGATTTTTTTTCAAATCTTCCGTAATTATAATTATACATTTGAATTAATAATATTAATTCCTTTCCAGTTTTTCGCGAAAAATTCAAAATTTTAAAGTCACAGGTTCGATTTTTCTTATTTTTCTCGACAGATGTTATTATGTTTAGTACATCTTTAGTCGCTTGCTCATTTAACTTCTCTTATTTATTTGCCATTTCGCTCCGTGCAGAGAGCAGAATTTTATGCTCTTTGAATCTCCTTCAAGATTTCCTTCAAGGGTTATATTATTTGCTTTTGAAATCGATAGCTTCATATAAAATCTCAGATAACCTAAGGTTGTTTTTGCCTGATTTTATATTATCAGAATATCCAGTCACTGAATTAAGATAATCGGATGAAAGATTTTAGGTAGGATTTATAGCTATTTTTTAAAAAATTTATAAAATTATATCTTTAATAAAATATTTAGTTTGCAACATTATGCCCGTAAATTTTTGAGTAATCTCGAAAACTGTAATTTATTAATCTATTAGAATGTCATTCATTGCACTCAGTCTTCTAATTTTAGTCCTACCTGTAATCCCAATTTAATAAACTATTATTTAATGAACTAGTAACACTCACTAGTTCAGCGGCAAAGCGTTCCATTTTGGAAGGTTTTTCCTCCAAGCAAATAAGCATTTCTAGCGATATCACATTCCAGCTTAGGAGAACTGAATGATCAAATTCGAGGTAGGGCTGAGCACGTTTTAGATTGCAACTTTTTCAAGAGTCTTAAAGACCTTTGTAAAACTTAAAAAAAAAGAAAACTTTATGAGATTATTACACTGTTGTGAGATAAAATTTGTAAATTCATAGATCTATTCCGAAGAAGGAAACGCAAAAAATCAGCTCTGCCATCATCAGGAATCGAACTCCAGATTTCTCGATTGCTAGGAGAATGTGCTTTCAATTACACCACGAAGATAGTCGATAAGGAAAGTTTAAATTCTTTATAATTTTTATGAGAATTATAGTAAGCATTTTCGAAAAACGTACTGCTATAAATTAAGGATTAGGTATATGAATTTAAAACAAATTGCATCACATAAATACTCTATTTGAAAACAGGCACTAAAATGATTCGACTAATTACCTATTGCTTGTGGTGCTATCATATGTACAAAACCAGCTGAAAATAGAATCAGTGTCAAAGGGAAAGCTATCCAAGATAAATATTGCAAAAGCGGATGCCTGGCTAAATCACGATATAACCAGATGCGAGCTGTAAATAAAAAGGAAGAAAATAAATAAAATTTTAAAGAAATTTCAACTGACAAATAAATTCAATTTAAATTATTACTTAATAAAAATCAGCTTAGCTGTGAATGCATCCCAAATTAATAATTAAGAGAAGATTTACTCTCATTTTCTACTTTTTTCGATTTTCCAGAATTTTATTGATTCATATTTCTCCAAATATTTTTTCAACACTTTTTTCAGCAATAATTTCATTTTCTATTACTGAAAGGAATTTTTATTTAGACTCTGCACTTTGTGATTTTATGCAATGAAAAGTTTTTCCGGCAGGGTTTCTTTGTAAGACGAGTGTTATGTACTTAGCGAAAACAGTTGTGATGTTTATCATTGTGTATTTGCAGTCAAAAGTGAGTAACCTTAAGAACTAGTTAGCGAATAATCGCTTAAGTTCGTGTGACAAGAAGCAACAAGATGAAAGGGTAACTAACCCTTTATTATTCCAATAAGATTTAACAGAACTCCGTCTTGGAGTGTACAATAAAAGCTGACACTTGGGCTTGAACTTAAGAGACTGAGAAATAAATTAAAACTAAGATTAATTAAAGAGATATAGCCGAAGCTATCAAGATTCTAATCGAGTTGGCCCCTTAACTCTATTTCACTACGAAGCTTATCAAGGGCCTGAGTACAGCCGAGCGTAATAACAGCTTTGAGAGAGAGTAGCTAAAAAGGCAGACTCGCGCAAATCAGAAACTCTGATTCTCTCAAACTCAGCAAGTAGAACTTCGTGGTTTAAATACCGCTCCTCCTCATTAAGTATTCAGACGTGATTCTAAAACTACGTTCTGGCCGGAAGTCGTAAGTTGAAGGTAAAGATTTGATAGGAAGACGTTTAACTCAAAATTAAAACTGTTAATAAAATTAAAATAACCTAACACAGTTTAGGTTAGATTAGGTTAGTTTACTTATTATGCTAAAACTCTAAGGAGCACTTTGCCTCAGGAAGGCACTCGTGCATAGTGATCTAAGATAAACTATTTTGTATTGTCATTACACATGGGAAAATCTGTGAAACCCCCATGCAGCCTCCCCCTTCAGTCGTCTAGAATGAAATTTAGAATAAACTATCAAGGTTCAATGATCTCTCGACCGCTAGTGAACCTTTCGAAAATGTTGAAAGCACGCGAATGAGCGAGTTGTAAGTAAAAGTTACTAAATAAAATCTATTTAGAACGTATGGTGGTACTTTCGTATTATTCCGTAGACTGTGAATGTTAGCTACTATTGAACATGGATGTGGCCGAGATTCCTCTGAAGCTTTGCCAGTTGTTCCTGCGGAATTCTGAGTATCAATTCTATCTGAAAATCTTACAATAAAACATTCGTCTGTCTCTTTGCGCAATCCGTCAAACAGCCATTGCTACGGAATTATTCGGCACGCTTCGCTTTTGTGTTTGGTAAAAGAGCTTTGATCGATTTCTACTACTTGTTAGGCTCTGCGTTTTTACCGGAATCTCTGCTTAGAACGCTTAAAATAAATATTTCTCGCAGGTGATTGTTCCGATCTTGTTTGGTCGGCCAAAACCAGCGGTTATTTTTCCTAGTCAACAGTTTTTAATTCTCTGGACTAGCTGTAAATGGGCCGGAGTGCAATCACAATGTGATTCTACAGCCCTCGAATTAATGTTTCTCTAAATGCAAGGCAAAAATACTGTAGTATTAGTTTGGGGTTACATCCAACGAAAGCATGGCTAATGAGTGTGTTGCAATGTCACGCTTATTCATAATTAGACCTAAGTCATTCTGTTTGGCGACAGTGTCATGATCGACGGAATAATACGCAAGTACCCGTTATGTATATAGTGCGCCTGTTCTACTACTGTTTACTATTTAATTGTTAAAATAAATATGTTATAAACTGAATCCCATTTCTTTATATCATTATTATAAGCAAATAGCGCCGAAATAAATATCAAGAAAATGATTCAAAAATTCCGCTTAGTAACGTGAATGTTTCCTGCCAAAACACTCCTTTCCTATTAGGAAAAACAATCACTGAAATAAGAAAAAAAAAATAGAGCAGAAAATTTGAAAAAACATGTGATCTCGCTCGGAATGAGTTGATAGATTTTCAACTGGACGTAAAAAGCAATTAATAGCACAAGGCAAATGCGGTAATTCCTTACAACATAAAATAGAAACAATAGTAATCAGATATTATTTATAAGTACTTTTCAGCTGATTAAACTTTCTCTCCCTTCTAGAACAGAAATGCAAGTCTTTTCATTTTGCGAATTAGAAGAGAGTTAGTTAACTTATTTATGAAGATTATATAAGAAAATGCAATGTAAAATTACGGCCCATGTGGAAAATTACAAGCTTTCTATGAAGCAATAATTGTATTACTTTCTGCAGTATATAGAGAATTATCACTGCAAACGTGATATAAACGCTGATTTGGTTCATATGTTCATAATCTAAAGATTAAAAAATTTCAATGCAAACCGTTAAGAATTGCTTTAGAGCGGTTGTTTAGGGTGATTTAAATAACTTGTTTAAAAAATTCATTTGCTTTATAACAACCCAAAAGGTAACATAAAAGTTTATTGCTCACAGCTGGTGGGTATTAACTTAAAAGTAATACAAAGGAAATAAGGAAATTATTCGCTTCTTGTGGACAGAGACTTGCTGGAACTCTACGGTATTTTAGATGGGTTACAGCTCCAGCAACTCTGCGCGAAGCTACAGTCGGATAAACAAAGCGCAGTTAACTTTCAGCACTTATTAACTATGACAGCACAACCAGGCATCCACGTCTGCTGAGATCAGTCACTCTATAGGCAACAGCAAGCAGACTTGCTCTCCGTATCGTACTCGTTAAGATTTCCTACTAATTTTAACATACCCCACTTGCCATAAAAATCTGCATAAACTTCTGAACTGAACAAGTACATAACAAAACAAGGCATAAAGGAGAGAATAAACATAAAGCTTACTGTTAGTAATTTTAAATCAATGTCAGAATCTTTATTGAAGTTCTTCAGTATTTAATCATTATAAGAGCTCTTCATTGACAGACAATAGCATGCATTTAAGCTATAGAAATTTATTAGGTTTCTTCAGAGCTTGAAACGCAAAATATTCAATTATCCTCTCTCCAGGTGTCGAACACCGGATTTTCTAACCGCTAGGTGGATATACTAACTATTATACGCAGTGGAGAATGTGATAATTCACCATTCGATGCGGAAAGACAGTGAGAAGGCTGTTCAAACTTTCAAAGTGCTATGATTATGACCCTGATACATTTCCTTACATTTTGTGCTATAAATTGTTGAAACTACTCGAATAATTTGAATCATAATATATAGCACATTGCAGATTGAAAGGCAAAATAAAAGTTTCCTAAATTTTTAAGTAAAATAATAACCATAAGAAATAATGGCTTTATACTAAAAAACAAATTTTCTATTTCAAATGTTCCGTTTTCCATTTTATCAAGTTATGAATGGGATATACACAAGATAAATTATATGCCTAAATATATCTGATATCAGTTCTGTATTTTAGGGAAAGGCCTTTAATGGTTGTCTAAAATGCAGAACAGGTAAAAATGAAAAACTAAAATATCGAATATTTTAAATGAAGTGGATAGATGTTTTTATTTATAACACAAATATCTTAAATTTATAATCATTACATTTACTGCAGGTCACAAATCAAAAACAAAACATATGTATAATAAATGTAATATAGCAGAGAAAGGTAAAATCATATGTAATGGACACATACTTCTTAAGCATATGGCAACTGCGTAATCCATGCTAAAACTTATTAATGATGTCAGTATTCCTAATACAGCAAGGAATACCCAGTCTTCCCCTAACTTTGCAAATGTGTATTGCCAGAATGCTGTAAAGTAGCCTGAAATAATTAAATTATTATGGTCAAAAAACAGTTAAGCGTAAATAAAGGTAAAACATTTAGCATCTAGTTGTATTCTAAAGATAATTGATAATAGATTTTTGTGAAGATATGACAAATCTGTTTTTTTATTTTAAATTTTATATATTGATAAAGCATTTGAAATACGTAATCACTAAATCTAGTCGTTTTAATCAAACCAATCACAGAAACCATGCGCAAACCATTGCTTCTGGGAAACCTTTAATACGTAGTGTGGGAAGATTATTCAGTCAGGTATTCGAAAGTGCTGACAAGATCATACTTAACAAGGAAACAACGAGGTGAATTTATAAAGCTTTTTTATCTAAATGGGGGAAATGCTGCTGAAGTAGCGCGAGTTTATCTGCGAAATCATAGCTAAGACTAGGCCCATATTCCGTAAAAAGTGAAAGTGATGTGGCAAAACAGTTAGAAGAAACTGAATGCGCATGTGATAGACTGCGATCCGGACGACCCTGTGTTTATGCTGAAGTTGGTGCGGAAGTGAAAAATGCGATTACTGCAGGTCCATTGCATACTGCAAGACCTATTGCCCGCAGTTTTGATATACCTAAAACCCCAGTTTTCAAGCTTCTGCGCTCTGTTCTGCTGATGTTTCCTTATCGATTCCAACGCGTCAAGATGTTTCAACCAGGAGACACGCAACCACGGTCCGACTTTCAGAATTTTATCTCATCAAATATGATGACGATAACAGGTTGCCGCTGGGGATATTATGCACCTATGAGGCGTATTCCTCCTTAACTGGGAACCTATGAGACGTATTCCTTCTTAACTGAGAACTTGAACTCCAAGAACTGCATTCACTGGGCTGATTAAAATGCTCACGGTGTGGCACCAACGCCTTTAAACGAAGCTAAAATGACTGTGTGATGCGACATCGCAAGTACATTCGTTCTCAGTCCGACCTTCTTCGAAGATGTCGCTTCCGCAGGTATAAAATCCTGCTCCATCACAAGGGCTCGGTACACAGCAATTTTGCAGAATTACGTAACCAGAATAGCAGCTGCGAATGACACTGTATGGATGCAAGATGCTGCTTTGGAAGTTACGGGAGATCTCCCGTAATTTTGCAGGTTTGTGACCACCGCGATCTGCCGACCTCACTTCGATGGATTTCTGGTTCTGCGGTTATCTGAAGTCGAAGGTGTACACATCAAATCCACGACATTTGTCAGAATTGAAAGATGCCATAAAACGTAAAATTATTCAGATTCCTCCTGGGATGTTACGTTCGTCATTGTTGTTAACAATCTCCCGCATGCAATGCGTTATCGTCTGTGAAGGTGAAGCATGCTAAAAATTTGTAATTGCAGTAAAAGGTTTTTTTATTCTCTTCTCTTCTGTTGTTCTTTTATAATGTTCTTCGTTGCAAATGTTTACGCAAGCAGTTTGCGGCATGCGTGTATTGTTCAAACGTTATTTAAGGTTTTTCAATGCGCTGACTAATTTGACCAGGAAAAAAAAATGGGTATTGTCATTTGAAAATTTCGAAATTTTTTCACTGCAACCGTAATTGTTAGAGCTCTACTGTTTGAAATCATCACAATCTCGAACGCATACCTTCAAATAACAGAGTCTGAAATTTCATTTCGATTAGTTGTAGGTAGATAGGCTGCTATGGGCTAATATATCGAAGATCTTTTTGATGGTTACTCCGAATATTTTTTTTTTTTTGTTGTTAGGTTACATTTATGAGTTTTGTGCAAAAATCGCGAATTTCACGGATGGTCATCTATTTTTATGACTCGTTTGAAACTTTGAATTTTGTTTTGCACCTGTTTCTGCATTTTCAGAATTTAAATAACCGGCTTGTCTGAGGGAAGTTATTTGTTGCCAGGCAACGCGTTGAAAAGAAAATATCACATCTTTTACAAAATTTTAAGAAAAGAGGAATAGGGAAACAAGACGATGCATGTTAGAACATAAATTATGTTAGAACATAAACTTGTAACGTTTGTCACAGTAACTAATCTGTCTTTAAATATGAATAATTTTACTTTATTTCGCATTTATTTCTTATACTATTACTAGTCATATCGTAAGATTTATGTTACTTAATTTACGCTAACCAGCGAGAGCAGTAAGGAATCTCGCAGTAGAACACATAACATTTATGTAAAATGTACTTGTATTTTAATTAATTAATGCAGCATGTACTAAAGTTTGGCTGAAATAAATAATTTCTTTAACTTTCATTATTAAAGCATAAATATACAAATTTAAAAATGCGAACATTAAACTTTGAAATGAAAGATATCGAAGATAAAAAACTACCTGCAAATCGCCTTTCCCAAGCACTGCGGTAAGTTTTCAGTTGCTTCTTTCTAATCGCTTCTTCATTCTTTCTTAATCTTTCTAAATTTTTCCATCTCCTTGCTTCTACTTTTGCATAAGTTTCTATGCCTTCTTTATATTGGCCGTACATCTAATGAAAAACATTATCATCTACAAATTCAAACAAATAGTTGCTCAAATTTTCAAAAACACAAGGAATTTGTCTTCCCGTGCTTTTTAGGCATTTTATTTTTTTGTGAATCTGAATATTACTATACTGCGATGACGTGCTTAATATGTCCATTACTACGACTTTAAGTCGAGCACCACAGCAGTTAAGCGACACACTGTAGTCCCCCCAACGGGCATTTCACCGTGGTAGTTTTAAACGATGTCTAGTAATTCCAGATCTAACACCACTTGATATTTTATTACTTGTGAAGTCAATTAAATATATCGGTTTAGCCTAAGAGATTACTGTTGTAAGCATCTAAAAGGGAGTCTAGATTGCATTCACCATCAGACTGATGCTACACTCATCGAGCCGGCGCATAGACTGGTTTACGTGCCGTAAGCAAGGAAGGTAACTTTGCAAATGTTTCTGAGCATTCTTTATGATACTCCATTTATGAGGAACCCTGAAACTTGAGGGAAAATGAAACTTACTTTTATGGCTAACGTTTCATAAGAGTATGTAATTTTTAGAATCCGTATATTATTTTACTGAGAAAATTATTATTCTATTTATCTCTTTCTTTTTCTCACCTTTAATCAAATCAGTTTAGCTTGGGCTAAAAATAAAAAGCTCACAGTTTAGAAATGCACATTTTTGAATAGGTCTCGAACCCTTCCTTTGATGTTACAGGTTGGAGCAATGCTGGCACCTGTTCATTCCCATAGGTATATATTAGGTATCGCGGGGGCTTGCTAACTGTTAGGCCTTTCCGCCAATTTTGAAGAAGAATACTCCACGGCAAGGTCCGAGGGTCTCTCGCCCTCTTTCTAGAGGACTTTCTGCTTGCCGTGTATTTTCAGAACTCCCTTGCCACGCAGACACTACATGCGGTACAGATATGCGGCACAGACGTTATTAAAAACATCCATGCCTTCTTCGGATTTCGAACCTGGGTCCATCCTTGCGGCAGTTAACGTCACTAATTACTGTACTGGCTGGGTGGCCTTCCAAGTGATAGTTGGAAGCAGTGAGTTCACTCTAAGGAAGTTGATGGTAATTTGTTTACAATCCTCCCTAGCTTCTTAAGAAACTATACGGGGAGGCGAGAGCCATTGGACTAGGTCAAACTCGTGAAGAGTTACCGTCACCCCATTACTGCAGAGTCCTTGTTCAAGGATCTTAAATATCTGCTTGTCAATTTATAAGGTATTTCTCCCGCCTTCTTGGCATGCTTTCGTAGTGTGGTGGTCTGCACGCTCAGCGCATAATTGAGAGGTCCGTGGTTCGATTCCCGGTGAAGGCGTTGCAAATTTTTCATCTTTCCTGCTTACAAAATGCCTAATGTCTCTACAGTGGCGCGCGAACTAAAAGGGTGTTGGATGATGATTCTCCTCACCCAGGATTTGGCGATTCCCCTAAAAACCCCAGTCGCCCTTTAAAAAGGGGGAGTACATAAGGTATTTCTCCCGCCTTCTTGGCATGCCTTCGTGGTGTGGTGGTCTGCATGCCTAGCGCAAAATTGAGAGGTCCGTTGTTCGATTCCCGGCGAAGGCGTTGCAAATTTTTCATCTTTCCTGCTTCCAAAATGCCTAATGGCTCTATAGATTTGCTTTAAACGTAAGGCCTTACCTTAGGTTTCGTAAGTGTGAAGGCAAGTTATCTTTAGCACAAGAATAAGGAGCTTGCAAGCAACTAAATGAATAATAAAGAAAATGTTTTTATACCACTACTTATAAAACTTATCACAAGATTTAAGTTATCAGAATTTACAATAATAACACTAAGGAATCACTAGTTTACTGACAAATTTTGACAACTAACCTGAAGCCACTAACACTTTACAACTTCAAGTATTTAATCAACCTGTCACCCGGAAAATCTCCGACTTTAAAGCTTTAATTGCACAGATACTAATTTCATCATTTAGTCAACAAACTGTTAGTTCACCATTAGCGAATAGCGTCCAAAATTTCAAAGAAATCAGTTCTATAGACCCCTATTTAGCCTTGGATAGGTAGTTGATAAACCTCACCACATAAATTCCAATCTTGTGAATTCGAAACTGTATAAAATTTGTGATGAAGGTAAGAAGAACTGGAATGCGCAAACTTGAACATATGCTATAGAGGTATTTCCTCCCCTTTGGTCAAGATTACAAATGTTCTTTTGCGAATTCAGTTAAGTGACTTGCACAATTATAGCATATTAAAATAGAACTGTGAAAGAATAATTTTTTTAAAGAAAATTCCTACAGGAGCAAGAGACCCACCAGCGGCCCGAGTAGTAAAGTCGCTGAACACTGGTAGTTCGGTCCGGGGTTCGAATTCTGCCGCATGGGCTGACTGCATGGGCATTTTTGTGATTTTCCCCATATGTAACGTGTATACCAGCCAGTTTCTTTCAGAAAGTCCTCTACGAAGGCATTTCTCCCTTTAGGCAGATAGCCCTCGACTACTTTACCATAATTAAATAAAGTAAACAAACTTACAGGAGCAAAAATACTATTACAGTGACAGATAATTCCTTCTTTTGCTACCTCCTTTTAAAAAGAGTTCGTTCAGGCTCATCAACTAATTCTTAAATGTAATATAATACTGTTAAGTGAGTGTTGTTGCTTTCGTGTAAAGATAAGTTATCCAAAACACATGGCAATTAATCAGTTATGGATACCGGCATGAATGGGATGAAATTGCATTACGGAAGCTCTATGCATCGTATGTGGTTTATGCTTACACGAGGTTTCCCTGCCCTTCAGCTTATCAACGTTATTAGTATATTAATCCAACCCACCTCCAAAAAATGCCCCAAAAGTCACCGATTTTATACACTGAAAGCTTAGCTTAATATCATTTGATTTTTACTCATAGGTACAGTAAAATTATTAACTTTAATGGAGAATATAGCTGCTCTGGAGAATTTAGGAACAAAAAATCTATCATGATTGTTGTCCGATGATCTTACCACCATCTGAAGTGGGTTATTTCGGTTTAAAATTGATTATATCTGTTTGTTATAAACAACAGAGATCAGTTTGAACCGATTCATCGTTAACTTTGAACAGAAGTTTTCTTTGATGTGGGACCTTTGAGACACTCTATATGTGGCGCAAAAGAGTGTATTCTTAAAACCTTATTCAATGTTAATAAATTGAAAAAGTAAAACTGAAGATCACATCATTGTCTTGAAATCATGTAAGTCTGCTGAAAACAAGCAGATCTGTATTTATTTATATGTATTTGGAATGAAAAGTTCTGCTATAATCAAATTACTAAAGTTTTGCCTAGGCCTGTCTACGATTATTTAAATAAACTCTCGGTGAATTCAGCTATATCGCAAAAGCGCTTTAGTAATTTCCTTGACTGTATTAAGATCAAATTTAAATAAATGATTTCATTTTATGCCAAACTTATCAATATTTTCACAGTATTTTAATATTTTTTGGTCATTCCCTATATATTCAGCTATTTCTTAATATCAAAATTATCAAACGTGTTTAAGTGCTTTCTTATCATTCAGATAAAAACTGTAGAGTGCTTATATCTCTCACGAAATTCGTTTGTCAGTAGTAAACCTTAGAACAAATTATAAAAGTATTAAACTTCAAAACTTGGACACAGAAACATATATTTCACAGAAGCACTAGTTTATATTTCTAAAGTTATCTTTATTACAAAACAAAAGAGAAACTGATTGTAAGAAGCAATTGTAAGAGATATAATAAAAAGGTAAAATGGAGCAACTTATACGGGGTGGTCATAAAGAAACCTTCCCCGATATATGAACCCCAAGCGGCCTGTCCTCACAGACAGTCGAAATGAAATTTCACATTGTGTTATTTGAACGTATGTGTTCAAAACTATGATGATTTCAAGCAACAGAGCTCTCACGGTTACGGTTACAGTGAAAAAATTTCGATTCAACTTTATCAGTTCACGTCGTTGTTTCCTTGTAAGTATCATCTTGCTAGCACGATCCAACACCTGATTGAAAAAACAGTCTTCCCCCACTGCTTAACGTTTTTCCACAAGCAATGTTTGCATATGGTGTTTTGTGATTGGTGTTTCTACTGTCTATCGGTGTGAATTATGCAAAGTGCGACAGTGCATTTCCTCTCCTTGTTTTCATTGTTCCTTTATAATGCTCTTCTTTGCAAATGTTTTACCCCCACAGTTTTCATCATATGTCTCGTGTCAACCCTATGTATGGCTTTTCAATGCGCTTATCAATTTGCGCAGGGAAAAAATGTGGGTGTTTCTATTCGAAAAATATTGAAATTTATTTTCACTCTAACGGTAACTGTTAGAGCTCTGTTGTTCCAAATCCTCACAATCCCGAGCGCACACCTTGAAATAGCAATATCTAAAATTTCACTTCGATTGGTTGAGCGGATAGGCCGCTAGAGTTTCATATATGAAGGGAATTTTTTATGACCACCCTGTATATCCGTGAGTTTAAACATATATATCTCAGTGCATTCTGTTTCTCAAGATCAGCTCAGAGATTATGACAAGCACATTTGTAAGAATAACGTATGATAGATAAGACGATATTAAACATATGTATTTAACGATGAACAGTTATATGTGATGACAGATAGATAATAATGATGCAGGTAAGTAAATCAAGAAAGTATTTTCAGTAGCTGTTCGCAGTGGCTTAATTGGACTAAAATATTTTTTTACAGTGCACAGCTTTAATTTATATAAGTTTTTTCGGAAATTTCTTGAAGGTACTCTCTTCCGTAGGCGAATATCTTTGGCGTGATTTGTCGATATTAACGAACGAAGTGGTTTGAATGTATAATTTTCATTTTTCATATTATATCATCAAAAGCCATTGCAGTGTTGCCTTGTTGAGATACGTATGAGAATAATCTTCTATAACTGTTAAATGTCGTCAAGACTGGATCTAAAGTGGAACTGTAATAGGATATAAACACTGTATGTCAATTCTTTCTTTCAAGAATCATTGATTGA